TACTTTCTATCTTACCTTTGGAGTATTGTTTGTTTTAAAAGAATTGAGTTGACATAGTCTGATTGCATTCAAACTAATCTCAAATTTGCAGATTTGAGGACGATAAGCATGTGTCTTGCTTATTTGATGAGGTGTGGGAAGAAAATACTAGTGGCGATAACGTCACTCTTCAATTGTATTTGGGAGAGATAGTTTCACTTATTACAGATAGCATCACTTCATCATCTTGGAACTCCAAACGAAAGGTAGAAACTCTTCATTCTGATACCAATGACTTCATGAGTTTGTGTGGCTAAATCACCAGATATACTGGTAGATTATGTTATTGATTTCTTTTTTTCTTCATATGAACTACTTTTGTCGACAACAGGCAGCGCAAGCAATTACTAAACTTAGTGAGACATTGCATGAATCGCTTTCCTCTCACTGTCAAGTTCTACTGAGCTCGTTGCTGAAGGAGATTCCTGGTCGACTGTGGGAGGTTTAATTTTCTGCCTATAACTTCTTTCTGATAGTCTACATGCTGAAGACCTATTCTAACTTCAATGACGTTTAATTGAACTTTAATCTGCGACAGGGAAAGGATGCTCTTCTAAATGCATTAGCTGCCCTTTGCACATCTTGCCACAATGTTATTTCTTCTGCCAATCCATCAGCTGCTAATGATGTCCTAAGTGTGGTTACCACTGCATGCACTAAGAAGCAGAAGAAATTTCAAGAAGCAGCTCTATGTGCTTTAGATCAGGTAATTCTTATATGCAGCTTCTTAACTAAGTGAATGTAATTACTCTTTCACGGAATTCATCCTATTGACTTAGAGGAACAAAAGGGATCCATTTAGTAATTAAGACAATCAATTTGAATGATTCCAACATGGAATAGAGTCACCGTGAAGGAGAGGGTGTACATGTTTTTAATGGATGGATTATAGGATTGGTGGTGGAAGCTGGAGCTTGTTAACGTGAATGAGGGACTGTTAATTTGATAAGAATGATAGGCAAGTTCACCCAAAGCATGAGCTATCCAGATAAAATTGAAGGCTTGTAGCAGTCACCGTTCGTAGTTACTGTTCAGCTCTCAGCTCAATTGGAGCCTACGTAAGGCTCTCATGATATTGTTGTCCCTAATCAATACTGTTTTCTCCAATGTTATCGGTTGACTTCCAATAGTGTTTCAGCCACCAGTCTTTGATGACAAACTAACAATCTATGATTCATCCTTTAGAAAAGTTCTTGGTGCAAAGCCTTATCTGGCCTTGGCATAGTTAAACACAGAACATATTGATCTTAGAATCTCAATCTTGAATATCCAGTGTTTAGTGTATACATGCTCCTGTGGAGTACTAGACTTGGTTTTACAACTCTTTCCCTTGCTGTTTTTTAGTCAAACTATCCTCCTCTCTTATTGTGTCTCTGTTTTGTTTTATTTTATTTTATTTTATTTTATTTTATTTTATTTTATTTTATTTTTGGCTATCTAATGCTACAGTACAGTTTCACAGGAGTTCTTGGCACTTTCTCGAACTTAAAACTTTATCCTAAAAATATTACTTCCATTCCCATGTCTCCTTCAAGACCTTCATGACTCTTAAACCTTCTTACAGTATGCCCCAAATTCCTGATTCCCTCCTGTCTATATCATTATACAAAACTCTGGCTACTAATCATCTATAATCATGAATTAGCTGCTTGAGACTTCTGTTATGCTTAGCAAAATTTACTCGGTATTTGTGCTACTTCCACTCCCATGTCTCCTTCAAGACCTATATGACTCTTAAACCTTCTTACAGTATGCCTCAAATTCCTGATTCCCTCCTGTCTATATCATTATACAAACTCTGGCTACTAATCATCACTAGACGCCACCATGTAATCACGAATTAGCTGCTGGAGACTTCTGTTAAGCTTACCAAAATTTACTTGGAATTTATTCTATTCTCACTGAAGTAGTAAAGTCTATGTTTTAGTATGCGCTGCATTCTTGTGCATGTATGACTGTTTGTGCTGTCTATGGATCTGTTCCTACACCTGAAACTACCCTAAACTGCTGTTTTGTGTGCACTGCATTTACGTGCTCGGCCATTACTATATGGTAGATAATTACTATCTAGAAAGCTAAATTATTCTACAAGGAAAAGGAACTCCTGCGATTCGAAAGTTTTCCAAGAACGGTTTGTAGAATATTTTCGTTGGTGTTTGCACGGGGACTTTTAACACAAGTTATCCATTGAGACACAATATTAAAAATTGTCCTCTTCTTTTGTAGGTTATCAAGGCTTTCGATTGTCCAGAGTTCTTTAATGCTGTTTTCCCATTGTTATGTGAGATGTTTGATCCAGCTACAGGAGATAAATGTACACAAGAACCATCAGGAAGCACTTCCCTTAAATCAGGTAGCTGAAGTGTTATTATGGAACATTTAACTTCTCACATTATGGACTGCGTATATATTATACAGCATAATAGAGTTTTAGACCTCAATTGAGTGTTAACTGTTAAGTGAGAGCAGTACAGAAAAATATAAGAGAATTCTCTGGTGTATCTCAAATTATGGAAAATATAGTACGTGTTAATTCTGTGGAGTGCAGGAGGTTTGAGAAAATTGATATGTGGAGTGCAGAAATATTTTAATCATACTATGTTGTTTGATGTACGAAGTATATGAAAGGTTTTGATAGTTGTTACATGTATGGTCTGACAGTTGCAGGTTCTGATAAGGAAGAAGATAGTTATGTGCCACGTAGTATAATTTTAGATTGCACCACATCTTGCATAAGTGTTGCTCCAATTAATGATGTTCTTCAACAAAAGCACAACTTGATGTTGCTGTTTTCCCATGCCTTGTCACCTGCATTTCCGTGGACAGGTAATTTGATGTATGATTTGATTGCGGATTTATGAGATAAGTTATTGCCATCGGTTTTTGCTAACATGCTTGTTATGGACAGTCAAAGTGTCGGCATTTATTACCATAAAGAAGCTCTGTTCAAAGTTAAAAGCTACTGTATGTGGTTCCACCCTAGAAGATCCTTTACTTGCTGGTGCCGTGGCGTTAATCAATGAGGTTCAGCCAAAATTTAATTTATTTAACACTGCTAACTGTCGTTCTATATTTACCTTCGGATTGTGACCTCTTTGTTGCTTCTTCAGTTATTCATCAGTGTATCTGGCAAAATTGTGGATTGTATTAGCACTGTAAAGATCGGACAGGTATGTGGTTGCTTTTGCCATATGTTGTTTGTTTTGCTGGAGAACTAAACATTTACAAATAAATGCATCACTTTAAGGAATAAAGATAAATTGAAATTCTGTAGCTATTTAAACAATACAACTGATTGGAGTCAGCTAATCCATGAAGGAGTTTGGATAATAACTCGTTTTCTCACGATAGTGGGGGAACGGGGGTTATTTCCCATCTTATTGCAAGTGTAATCTGCTTTGGTAGTAACATTTTTAAGCCTTGAAATTGTATTCACGATCTGACAATGTGTCTTTATACTATTCAACTAGGTTCATGTTGCTGCTGCTGAGTGTTTGCTGGAAGTGATTGAAGTCTATGGAGCTATTCAACCAGCGTCTGCAGTAGATGAAGGGTTTAAAGAAAATCTAGCTCAGTTGTATGAAAATGAAAAAAATGAACTGGCAAAATCATTGTTAAAAAACTGTATCGTCCACCTTGAGAACTTGTAAGCAGTCCCCCATTGATAAATCATGAAATTTTGGATTGCTGTTAACTACGGAGTATTAAGGCAGGAACGAGCTGCGAGTTCATAAATTTATCCAGATACTAGTTGAATGTGTACAAAAGGAACGCTTAGGTTACGAGCCAGCTCAAATGTTATTGCACTACTCCAGTAATTAGCTGGTGTATGCAGCTCTCTACTCTCATCTCCGTTCATGTTGTTGGTACTCGGTTTTTATACAAGTCCAACATTACAGGACACTAAATTGTGCAAATTTTTTACAACTGTTTGGATCAAGTATTACTGTGTATATTACTGTCTTTCATCACTCTCCAGTCTCCACATTGTAAATATAAGTTAAAGTTAAGCTAAGCTAAGACTTAGTTAAGTTCAACAAAAAGTTAAGTTGAACAAAACTAAAGTTAAGTTAAATTAAAATAAGTTTATTTCAACAAATCTAAAGTTAAGTTTAATTTTTTTTTTTTTTTTAAAAAAAAAAAAAAGGTTTTAATGCAACTTGATAGTATAGATTATTTTCTATCTTTCCCTCACTTTCGTCAATTACAACTAAGGGTCTGTTCACTTCAGCTTAATTTCAGTTTAGTTTAGGTTCAATCAGTTTAGTTCGGCTCTTAATTTTCTTCTTATAATATATTCATTTTAGCTCTATTCAGTTCAATTTAGCTCCAATCAGTTCAGCTCAGTTCAGTAAATGTAAACAGACTCTAATGTGTGTCTATCTAGATTATGAAACAAGGCTATGACTTCACTTCGATTTGAATCTCAATTTAATTCTTCCTCTATTTCTCATAATATTAATTTGTTGATTATTTTTCTTCTTCTAAATTCAGCCTAAATCTACTCCCTCCGTGCTTTAATAGGTGCTACAATTTGATTTTTTTTTCACTATTCACATAATGATTTCAACTTGATTAATTTACTAATATATACAAAAAACAAATATTATTGCATAATACATTGTTGGATTTGTTATAATGTATACTTTCATAACATCAATTTACTTATAATTTTACTAACATATAATTAGATAAGTCAATGGTCAAAGTCGAGTCTTGAGATACGTGTTTGGTCAAACTGTAACATTTATTAAAATACCGAGGGTGTATACAAAAAAAATGGTATAGATTTAGTAATTTAGGACAAAAACACGCATAGATCGGTTATAATTGAAAATTTTCTATTTTTTATATTATTTTGTCTTGGTTTAATCAAATATATTGCTTGAGTAAATTTTTTTTTTACCGACTTATATAAGAAAATAATTTACTACCTCCGTTAATTATTATGTGCAACTTTGGGGTATTATTTGTGAGATATAAAATATTCTAAAATTGCACATAATAATTAACGGGGTAGTATATTTTTAGCTTGAAATAGCTCAAATGAAGAAAAAATAAAAAATAAAAAAACCGAATTTCCAGTATACCCCTGATACTAACCTAAAATTCCAAAACAAAAAAGCCTTAAACCCTTCTCTTCCTTCCTTCGCAAAACTTGATTCATTGTTTTTGAGGTTATATGTAATTGATTTCTCCATCTCATTCATTCTTTTTAGGGTTTAAATTTGATTTTTGCGTCAACAGTTTGATTGAATTTGCAAGATGAAAATGCGGGAAAATAAGGGAGGTGTCAAAGCAGAAACCGCAACCTCTTCCAGAAGTGGTTTGGAATTAAATGGCAAACCATTGGATTTTCGCTCTATTATGAATGAAGTTGAACTTCTTGGTGAATTCCCCTCTTTTTTTTCTTTCAATTTTTGTTGTTATAGATGCTAAGAATAAGTTATTATCTTAGGTATTGAATTTAAAGATTTCAATTTTGTGTTATTGTTTGCTTAAATGCTTAATTATATGGCATTTGGATTTGAATTTGGGGTAAAGTTACAACTTTAGATACTAATATTGGGAAGTGAGACTATTGGGGGAACTTCGATTGTACGATTGAAATTACAGAATTTGGGAAGAGAGACTATTGGGGGACTGCAGTTGTAGCTTTAGTGGTACGATACAACCGGGTGTACAGTAGAAATCGCTCAAGGGAATAGTGGAAGTGCAACCAATAGAGTCCTTTTCCTCGATTGAGTTCCAATTAGACCTCAATTTTAACCAACAAAGAGCCTAAGTTATTTACCTCCTTTAGAAATTGAAATTGAATTCCCACATTGGCCAACATTCTTACAAGATTGTTTCATACGAGTTTTCACGGTCTCTAATACGGGTCTTAATCACCAATTTCATATGCCTGATATTCATAAGTAATTGATATTGTAAAATTTTCCATTGAGAAAAATCTAACAAGATCCCATTGATGTTCAGCTCAGTACAGTTTAGCTCCTAATTTCCTTCTCTTATAAAATATTCATTTCAGTTCAGCTCAATTCAATTCAGCTGAGTGCAGTCTATGAGAACCGGCCCTCAGTAGATTAGTGGGATTTGTGATCAAATTTTTTTTTGTTTGATCCCAAAATATGCTAGGAAGCAATCTTCAAGAGACGAAGGGAGTACCAACCAAGACCTTATATTTTTGCATTTGGATGATTGATATTATTCTGCTTGGGTAATGAAGTAGCTTGTCTTTAGTTTGCTGTGTCTCCAAGTAGAATTTTAGGGGATGGGTGATGCAGGATGCAGCATATGTGCTTCTTACAGACTTCTTTACTGCTGCGAATTTTAGCTTCTGTTTTTATCTATGGTTACGTGATATGATTGCAAGCTTTTCTCGAATATATTGCCGGTGATTAATTTAACTTTATTTCATTGCAGGATCCTCTGATATGACATGGAAAGAGAGGAAGGATTTGCAGAATAAGAAGGTTGTTTCATTGGGTGGAAAGGTAGGCACTGTTGACATACCTGATGTTTGGATTTTGATCTGAAAATTTTGATTGAATCTGCTGATTAACAAACATTTTGTATTTATGTGTTATAGGCTCCCAAGACACAGAGACTACCACTAAGTGTAGCACGGCCAATGATGAAGAATCAAAAGAAAAAAGAAGAGAAGATGTTGCAACAGGTGGTGATTTCAGAGATGGGACTTTAAATTGTTTGAAACTTGCTATATTCTGAATGTAAAGTTGAAACTTGCTGATGAAAACTTTTTGCAGGAGTTACTCCTCGGACATTGTGGGGAAAGCCTTATCAAAAGGACCAAAAAACCTAAAGAGAAGCGCAGACCTGAAGATGGAGTGCTGAGATCAAGTGAAGGACGTTTCCGAAATGGAATTCTTGATGTCAAACATTTATTAAAATCCGCCCCACCTCCAAGGAATGATGATCATGGTCCTCCTATGCCTAGCAAAGGGAGGAAAAAGAAGGGTGGCAAAAAGAAAGGTGGTGGTGGGAAAAAGCGCCACTAAGAAGATTATTGAGCGGAAATAAACCTCAAGGGCAAAAGTTAGTAATGCTTTGTACTATAGAAGCAGCTAAAGCATACTCGAATGAGAAACTGAGAAAAGATATCCTCACATGCTCAGAAATCTATGTACACTGTCACACTGAGTAGCATTATCATCGCTTTGCTCAGTATTTTCATCTACGACTGTTTCAGAGGTTGTAACTTGTAAGCCAGTGCTGATCAGATCATCAACTCAGTTGTTTATTGCTCAATCATGGCATCATGCTTGCTTTCTGTAAGTTGATGTGTAGGATTGTGGATGATAATGTCGTGATTGGAAATTTTGTCAAACGACACTATTAACCCCTACAAAATTGAATCCCTCCAGTAGTCCAATTTTGCCTATTCAAATCTTGGAGTATATGAGGATTAGCATAAATACTCCATACTATTTGTGTTTATGATCTCACTTAGCTTCATTTATATTTGTTCAATTGTTCATTATATGATTTACAAGTTCTCCTATACCAGCACTAAAGTCTAGAAGTGACAGATTGACAATCAAGTCTTTTGATAAAACACAAAGTATTGTTCGCCCTTTGCCCCTTTCTAATGCAACTAAGAATAATCGTGATGGTTGTCTAGTAGTCTTTGTTTTATTGCTGGCACTAATTATGGCAATCAATTCACTTGTAATTCATATGAACTTTGTTATTGGCTCTAAGGGGTGTCCCGTGTACATGGTCAAGTTCGTTATAGTTTTGGCCATTACCCAAATTAAACTATATTTGGCATGGTATGCTAAGTAATTTAAAAACAACTTAATATGACTTTGGAAAGTCAAGCTGGTGACTGGAATCATCTCTAGCAGTTCTTGATTCGGTATACAACAAAATTCCGATATAGCCATAGAATTAAAACGTATATTCTCGGTAATTTATAAATATATTGGCAGACCTGTTTCATTGTAAACCAACTGCTACAACCCTGGGAGACATTTCTCACATTCAACTTAATTTTGGAAATTTTTTCTGAAATTGACCCTAAAAATGTGAATTATAGCCTTTAATTTGATGTATAGTATTTCCTTCAAAGTGACATTGTATCCAATTACAAACAAGGCCCCCTTTATTAACTCCTAACCACTGTGGAATTGAATGTGAGTTAGTGATCGTATTTGATTCCAAATAACATTATATGACCCTCGAAAATTAACCGAGTCCCGATAGCTAACTTTGAGAGAACATTTGCATAACAATATATGAAGCACAAATTTTTTAGACTATACAACTAACAAGTGTTACAAAAGTAGTTACAGCGTAGTTTAGTAGAAGTAGTAACCAAACCATAAATCTTAGATAAACCCTAAAAATCAAGATCTATTTAGAAGGTTCTAGTTGCTTTGCCTTGCTTCTAGCGAAGACCAGTGCACTCAGCTCAATTAAATAACCTCACGGTGTCAAAACCCTTGATTTCTACTTCTAAACCCCAATTTTCTCTCTCCTCCATTTTTTCTGGGTAATTTGTAGACTTCGAGAAAGATGGCAAAGCGGCTTATTCCCACTTTCAATCGCATTTTGATTGAGAAAATTACTGCTCCCGCCAAAACTAATGCTGGAATTTTGCTCCCAGAATCTTCTAGCAAGGTCTGATTAAATCCCTTTGTTTTCTATTTAATTAAATGTGTAAGCTGTTTTTTTCGTTGATTATAGTGTGTAAGTTGAATTCTAATCTGGGTTAGTTGCATTTTTACATAAATTTTGTTTCTTTGATCTAATCATGAACTATATAATTTATGAATCTATGATATCGGTTAATTAGCTGTTTTTTCGTTGATTATAGTGTATATATTGAAATCAAATCTGGGTTACTTGCATTTTTGCATAAAGTTTGTTGCTTTTGATCTAATTATAAATGTCCCAAACTATGTATTATATGAATTTGTGATATTGGTTAATTGCATTTTTGTTTATCAATATTTCTCAATGAATGTTGCTAATATTTTGGTTGCAAATGCCAATTTTTTTTTTTTTTTCAGTGTACAAGTATTAGCTTTGGAGGGTAATAGGGTTTTGATGAATTCTATAATATATGCGATCAATACTACTGTATAATTTAGTTTGCTATAAATTGGATTGCTTTTGGTTATTTTGATGCAGCTCAACTCTGGGAAAGTAATTTCCGTGGGCCCCGGGAGTCGTACCGGTGACGGGAAACTAATCCCCGTGAGTGTGAAGGAGGGAGATACTGTTCTATTGCCTGAATATGGTGGCTCTGAATTTAAGCTTGAAGATAAGACGTGAGATCTGTTTTATGCTATATCTATTAGTGTACCTAGGAAGCTAAATCATGAGTAATTTGTGATTGATTTTGTTCTGGAATCAATTCTGTTCTTTAAAATTTTCAAATGTGCTTCTAAATAGTTTGAAATTTTAAATTGCTGTCAAAGGATCTGGAATTTATTACCTGAGTTTAATCATTGCAAGATACAGTATTACCTTAACAAACTTAATTGCTGCTAAACGGAAGAAATGATGACCAATTTTGGAATGGTAGTGTTTTGTTAGAAGAATTAACTAGTGATATCACTCATCCTACACTATATGGTTTACATGTAGTTTTGGGGTTTCATATGGATTTTCAATTGTAAAGTCGTATAGTATTGTACAGCAAGCATGTTGGCTTAGTGCACTTTAGGAGAGATTTCGATTTTTTTTTTCTTACGGTGTTGTTACTGGTAAAGTAGTAAAGCTATGGATTTTGATGCTGCTCAACTGTGCTTCAATGAGTCAAAAAGTTACCGTCTTTACAGTAGATAGTTGTGAGTGGCTCAAAGTTTGAACTATACCCAATCATGTTTTATACATTATTATACCTAATCCAACCTAAATAGAAAAATTAGTTATGGACTTGTGGTGGTATATCATATAATTATGGTAATATTTTGGGAGATGTACTTCAACAAACCATGGTGGTGTTAGTATATTGCAACAAACTGTGACTTATTGGGGCCTGATTTTTCATTGATCAATTGTTGATGCATATAGAAAAACCTAGCCAAAATGACATTAACATTTGAATTAGAATAGAGATTGGTGTTTTAGAAAAATTTGCTGGCAAATTGCTTCTCTATTTGATCTGCACCATTCTTGTTGTAATGTAATGGTGTCCTGGGGTTCAAGGATGTCATTTGTAGTTAACGTCATGAAGCCGTGTAGAAATTATACAGCACCCATGCTAGGGAAGTATGCTGTATGGTATGCTGGTGCTGTTAAATTACCCTTCGTTGAGTCTAAAGGCCGCTATCCTTCCAACACATTATATTTGCATTGGTATTGAGGATACTTGGTGAAATTCTTTAGTAGTTGCTAAACAGTCTAATAATGGAGGAGTAAGTAGGCGTGGTGGTATCTTGTATGGTTATGAATCCTTATGAGTTATATGGCATATGCTGTACATGGAATTATTATGGTGGTGAGTTTTTAGCAGTTATATGGGTGTGGTGGACCAGTTACTAGTATATCAGATGATTGTAAATTTCTAATTGTTTGGATATACAAGTACAAAATTTACTAATACTTGGGGATTGTATTTTCGTTGCTATAATTTGATTGTTGAGGCATGTTGTCTGCCACTGTTTGTGAGTTAATACTTTGTATGTTTTAGTTCATGTGTGATATAATGCATATCTTAATGCAATGGTTGAGTATCATGCGTGTGATTATATTCAGGGATGAGAAATGTATCATTATTTATGGTTGTAACTGTTCTTGCTTGTGATCCTCTTGCAGGTATCATCTGTACCGGGAAGATGACATTCTTGGAACTCTACATGATTGATTGTGATTCGATACGGCTTTCTGGCCATTTTTAGGAGCTTCCCCCACCCCACAAAAATTGATAATAATAATATAAAACCCCGGAAAGGGGTCGTAGAGGTCAATTGACGAAGTAGAAATACTCTCCTTTTGTAACAATACCAGAACCAAAAGTGGTGATTAAATTGCAAATTTTGGAAACATTTTCATGTTATTGTTAATTTGATAATTTCTGATCACTGTTATGGAACTAGTATGTATGGTTTGGTTTTTCCTTTTGCTTGTTGATCATAGAAATATATATTCTTGAAGTTAGAGATGCAGGGATTCTTTGTGAAGGTAATGGCTTCTTGAGCTCCATGACTTGTAGGTCTTAGCAGCCTTCACCAAAATAAGTGGTGTCTTAAGGCCAAAACCTCCAAAAATTATCAAAAAGAGTGGATATTAGCCTTCAATTTTGGAATTTTTTGACTTTTTTCACCGGGAAATAAAAATTGCAGAATTTTTTACCATGTTCACTAATATCCTTTAAACAACTTGCAATGGATATTTGATCAGAAATTTTGGTAATGTAATGGCAAATTGCAAATTGCTTCTCTATTTGATCTGCACCATCCAATTAGCCTTTAAACAACCAATTTACCGGTTTACAACTTGTATCGATTTCATTAACTCAAATCTACCATGAACATTTATGACAACATATAATGATCATATATGGTTACAAACAGCATTATATGACCTCGAGATGTATCCCCTAAAATCTCAATGTTTTTCGACATCGAGCCCCGAAACATTCGAAATTTCTCAAAAAAAAACGTGGATATTAGCATTCAATTTTGGAATTTTTTAACTTTTTTCGACCGAATATAAAAATTACCGAAATGTTTACCATGGTCCATAATACCCTCCAGAAGTCCAATTGAGTGGGTGGAACCATACAATTTGCCTTTAAACGACCAATTTAACAGTTTACAACTTGCACCGTTTTCATTAATTCAAGCCTACCACGAACATTTATGCAAACAAATAATGATCATATATGGTTCCAAACGACATTATATGACCCCGAGATGTATTCCCTAGAATTTCAATACTTTTAAACACCGCGCCCTAAAAACTCCAAAATTTCTCAAAAAACGTGGATATTAGCCTTCAATTTTTGAATTATTTGACTTTTTTCGCCCGAAAATAAAAATTGCCGAAATGTTTACCATGGACCTTAATATCCTCCGGGAGTCTAATTGGGTAAGTGGAACCATCCAATTTGACTTTAAACGGCCAATTTACCGATTTTCAACTTGCACCGATTTCATTAACTCAAGCCTACCACAAATATTTATGACAACATATAATGATCATATATGGTTCCAAACGGCATTATACGACCCCGAGATGTATCCCCTGAAATCTCAAGGCTTTTCGACAACGTTCCCCGAAACTTCCAAAATTTCTCAAAGAGCGTGGATATTAGCCTTTAATTTTGGAATTTTTTTTACTTTATTTCGCCCGAAAATAAAAATTGCCGAAATGTTTACCATGATCCCTAATATCCTCCGGGAGTCCAATTGGGTGGGTGAAACCATCCAACTCGCCTTTCGACGGTCAATTTACTGATTTACAACTCACACCGATTTCATTAACTCAATCCTACCACGAACATCTATGACAACATATAATGATCATATATGGTTTCAAACGACATTATATGACCCCAAGATGTATCCCCTAAAATCTAAAGGATTTTCGACATCAGTATCGAAACCTTCAAAATTTCTCAAAAAGCATGGATATTTGCCTTCAATTTTGGAATTTTTTGACTTTTTTCGACCATAAATAACAATTGCCAAAATGTTTACCATGATCCCTTATACCGTCCTAGAGTCCAATTAGGTGGGTGGTACCATCCAATTTGCTTTTAAACGGCCAATTTACCGGTTTACAACTTGCACTGATTTAATTAACTCATGCCTACTACGAACATTTATGACAACATATAATGATAATATATGGTTCCAAACGGCATTATATGACCCCGAGATGTATACCCAAATTTTTTTAAGGATTTTCGACACCGGCCCCCGTAACCTCTTAAATTTCTCAAAAAGCGTGGATATTAACCTTTAATTTTGGAATTTTTCGACTCCAAACAACATTATATGACCCCGAGATTTATTCCCTAAAATCTCAAGTCTTTTCGATTCCGGGCCCCCAAACCTCCAAAATTTCTCAAAAAGTGTGGATATTAGCCTTCAATTTTGGAATTTTTTGACTTCTTTTCGCCCGTAAATAAAAATTGTCGAAATGTTTACCACGATTCCTAATACCCTTCGTTAGTCCACTTGGGTGGGTGGAACCATTTAATTTGTTTTCAAACGGCCAATTTACCGGTTTACAACTTGCACCGATTTCATTATATTAACTCAAGCCTACCACGAACATCTATGACAACATATAATGATCTTATATGGTTTCAAACAGCATTATATGACCCTGAAATGTATCCCCTAAAATCTAAAGGATTTTCGACATCGGGTATCGAAACCTTCAAAATTTCTCAAAAAGCGTGGATATTAGCCTTCAATTTTGGAAATTTTTTACTTTTTTTCGACCGTAAATAAAAATTGCCGAAATGTTTATCATGATCCCTTATACCATCCGAGAGTCCAATTAGGTGGGTGGAACCATCCAATTTGCTTTTAAATGGCGAATTTACTAGTTTACAAATTGCACTGATTTCATTACCTCAATCATACCACGAACATTTATGACAACATATAATGATCATATATGGTTCCAAATGGCATTATATGACCTCGAGATGTATACCCTAAAATCTCAAGGATTTTCGACACCGAGCCCCGAAACCTCTAAAATTTCTCAAAAAAACGTGGATATTAGCCTTCAATTTGGAATTATTTGACTTTTTTTCGCCCGTAAATAAAAATTACTGAAACGTTTACCATGGTCTCTAATACACTCCGAAAGTCCAATTGGGCTGGTGGAACCATCCAATTTGACTTTCAACGACCAATTTACCGATTACATCTTGCAACGATTTCATTAACTCAAGTTTACCACGAACATTTATGACAACATATAATGATCATATATGGTTCAAAACGGCATTATATGACCGCGAGATGTATTCCCTAGAATTTCAAGACTTTTCGACACCGAGCCCTGAAACCTTCGAAATTTCGCAAAATGCGTGGATATTAGTTTTCAATTTTGGAATTTTTTGACTTATTTTCGCTCGAAAATAAAAAAAAATACCAAAATATTTATCACGGCACCTAATACCCTCCGGGAGTCCAATTGGGTGGGTGGAACCATCCAATTTGCCTTTAAATGGCCAATTTACCGGTTTATAACTTCATCGATTTCATTAACTCAAGCCTACCACGAACATTTATGACAACAAATAATGATCATATATGGTTCCAAATGACATTATATGACCCCGAGATGTATTCCCTATCTCAAGGCTTTTCGATACTAGACCCAAAATTTTAATTTTGGAATTTTTAGACTTTTTTTTCGCCCGAAAATAATAATTGTCGAAATGTTTACCATGGTCCCTAATACCATTCGGGAGTCCAATTGGGTGGGTGGAACCATCCAATTTGCCTTTAAACGACCTATTTACCGATTTATAACTTGCACCGATTTCATTAACTTAAGTCTACCACGAACATTTATGACAACAAATAATGATCATATATGGTTCCAAACGTCATTATATGACTCCCAGATGTATTCCCTAAAATCTCAATACTTTGCGACATTGGGCCCCAAAACCTCCAAAACTTCTTAAAAAAGGTGGACATTAGCCTTCTATTTTGGAAATTTTAAACTTTTTTTCCCCAGAAAATAAAAATTGCCGAAATGTTTACAATGGTTCCTAATACCCTCCGGTAGTCCACTTGGGTGGGTGGAACCATTTAATTTGTTTTCAAATGGCCAATTTACCGTTTACAACTTGCACCGATTTTATTAATTCAAGTCTACCACGAACATTTATGACAACAAATAATGATCATATATGGTTCCAAATGACATTATATGACCCCGAGAAGTATTTCCTAGAATCTCAAGGCTTTTCGATACCTAGCCCCGAAACATCCAAAAATTTTCAAAAAGCGTGGATATTAGTCTTTAATTTTGACTTTTTTCGCCCGAAAATAATAATTGCCGAAAAGTTTACCATGGTCCCTAATACCATTCAAGAGTCCAATTGGGTTGGTGGAACCATCCAATTTGCCTTTAAACGGCCTATTTACCGGTTTATAAGTTGCACCGATTTCATTAACTCAAGCCTTCCACGAACATTTATGACAACAAATAATTATCATATATGGTTCCAAATTTCATTATATGACCCCGAAATGTATTCCCTAGAATTTCAAGACTTTTCGACATCGGGCCCCGAATCCTCCAAAATTTCTCAAAAAACGTGGATATTAGCTTTCAATTTTTGAATTTTTTGACTTTTTTCGTCCTTAAATAAAAACCGTCAAAATGTTTACTATGGTCCCTAATACCCTCCGGGAGTCCAATTGGGTGGGTGGAACCATCCAATTTTCCTTTAAACGACCAATTTACCGGTTTACAACTTGCACCGATTTCATTAACTCAAGCCTATCACGAACATTTATGACAATATATAATGATCATATATGGTTCCAAACGGAATTATATGACCTTGAGATGTATCCCCCTAAATTATCAAAACTTTTCTACACCGGGCCCGAAACCTCCAAAATTTCTCAAAAAGCGTGGATATTAGCCTTCAATTTTTGAATTTTTTTGACTTTTTTCGCCCGGAAATAAAAATTGCCGAAATGTTTACTATGGTCCCTAATACCCTCCGGGAGTCCAATTGGGTGGGTGGAACCATCCTATTTGCCTTTAAACGACCAATTTACCGGTTTACAACTTGTACCGATTTCATTAATTCAAGTCTACCACGAACATTTATGACAACAAATAATGATCATATATTGTTCCAAACGGCATTATATGACCCTGGGATGTATTCCCTAGAATTTCAAAACTTTTCGACACCGGGACTCAAATCCCCCAAAATTTCTCAAAAAGCGTGGATATTATACTTCAATTTTGGAACGTTTTGACTTTTTTCGCTTGGAAATAAAAAATGCCGAAATGTTTACCATGGTCCCTATTGTCTTAACAGATTTCATTATTCGTGATCTATTTGATTAATTGTAAATTTCCTCAAGTATAATCAACATCAACTATTCAATGCAAGATTATCGCCTTCGTCCAATCCCTTAAGCTTGGACAAAGCTCTAATCAAGCAGCAGAGAAGAGTGTTGTGGAGTATTGACTAATGTCTACTCAATTGATGTTGATAAATCATGAAAGGTTGCATCAGTGATATTCAGGCAAAGCCTTTATTTTAGTGGCTAAAAACCTTTTTTTTTTTCCAAGGACTCCGTATATGACTTATCATATATTCATATTTTTTGTCAATGTGTATATTTATAGCGTTAAGTACTCGTAATTATTTCATTGATCAAACTATTTTGAAGTAGTCATTGTACTTGTAAACACAAGCATGGAGTAACTAGTTTGGTTGATCATGCAAGTCTAACTTCCTCTCATGACTTAGGTACTTAAATAAACAACTTTTATATTTTTTGCTAATTTTATATTTTTTTTTTTTTTTTTTTTATGTACTAATCAATCTAACTTGATCCAATTTGTTATATTACTCCGTACTTAATAATTTTTACATATATTGACATATGTAAAAGTCAAATAATTGCAATTAATCTGACATGAAAAATTTGAGTGCAAACCAAATAGGTCACTTGCATAGTCTTGTATTAGCAGCAAATATTTTAGCTACGAGCTAACATGAAATAATTGGAATTATAATTTATCATTCATCATTCAAGCAACCAATGCTGTGGTGATAGTCATGTAGTAAACTTCCGATGTGCTTTTACAGCACTTGCCACAGTAGTCAGGGGAATAGGGGACTAAATCTTCAGATGCCAATAGTTGCTTGTACACAGTAGAAAGTCCACTTGAAAATTTTGACTATTGTCACAAAATAAGCCTAGTTGATCCTCCAAAGCAATATCTATACAAAACACTGAAAATGGACAGACACTGCTGTCGACTCATCTTAGATCTAGGTATTACTTCATGTTAATTGGAAAACCGATAACAGCAAAAACCATTAAACCAGTTAACAACTCAAGACGAGTTTAAGAAGTTTTCCATATCTTCTCTGCTTAGCTCTTCATGAACCTAGAACAACAAACCAGAATTCATCAGCAACTATACAATATACTCAACAAATAAAGCTTTTAGTTATTCATTCATCTAAAATTTCATTTTGGGTTGGGTTAGGGGTTGGGCATGAGAAAAATGTACACTATCAGTCTAAATATGATTACATACAAGTCTCTGATAGATTTTTTGGAAGGCGTCACAGAACTTCTCTGCCTCAGCTGGGCCAACCTATCAAGAAATGAAAATTTATTAAACAACCAAACTGAGAATAAGACATTATAAGTGCTAACTGTTAGCCAAATAAGGAAGTACATATCAGAAATCAAGACATGTCTTACAGCAATAAGATAAATCCATTTCATTCCCAAGCATTGTTGGATGTCTTCTTGATCCAAGACTACCAAGACTAATTTTTACTTAACACTACAGTATAATCAAATATCACCAAACGACAGCTCATCTAAGTAATGGTTCCTCTGTCCCAGCATCCCTAAAACAAGTTAACATATACTTTTTGCACGGAGATAAAGATGAGATAGATGTGAAGAGTGAAAAAAGCTGGCGATTTGGCCTACTGAAAAGGGGATGTCGACATCTTTACGTGACATCCCAGAATTGAAGGTATTTTGCTCAGGGCAAAGTAAGTACATGACAACCTCTATGTGCCAAACAATAGAAATGCAGTTCAGGAAGTCTTTTACAAAAAAAGTATAATAACCCAGTGAAAGAGTCAGATAAGATACTGATGCCAAATCTAACTCACCTAAAAATTTACCACCAGATAAGCAAAACAGACGAGGAGCCCCATCATCTCAACACAATTGGCATGTGAAGCCACTAGAGAGGAAGTACAGCTACAATAAAAATTTAAAAGCAAATAAAGTAACCTATCCGTGGGCAGTTCACTGCAAAAGAGGAAGCCTTCCAAACTAAGTAAACCATCATAGCTCTATAACTTGATGATTCTCCAACAATATAGCAAGGCAAGACTCAAAAGATCACCAATTAGTGTGAAAATAACACAAGAGACACTTGTCATCAAGATTGATTTGATAAAGCTCAAGTTCACATTGGTGTTTGAAAGAATCTCACAGGCATCCACACATTAACCTAATGAAAGAAACAGAATTAAAAAGAACAATGTGATGTCAAGAACTTATAGATTTCACTCAAAAGACCTTCATCTTACAGAATACAGATAATGATGCCTCAATAAAACCAAAACTCATTCCAGAGTAAGGAAGTCTCTCAGGCACCAATGACGTTGTCTAAGGTCCAACTTCAACCTTTGATTCATACCTGAAACCCAATAGTCTTGATGGAAATTGGAAGGCCTAGTCCACAAGTCACCCAAAAGCCTTCAAAACTATTAAAAATGCAAATTATTCCGATTGGTCTAACAAGCACAACAGGGGAGGTGATTTCAGAGCACCAGTGGGAATTATAACAAATTATACAACAACTGGGGGGAAAAAAAAGGTCATAAACAGCTCTCTAGGATGAATAGATAGGTTGTACTCAACTAAAATTCATCCCAAGAAGCTAGTTTGAAAGTAAATAACTCACACCCATCAGATCCTTCTGTGACTTGCAGAAAACCTTGAACAAATATTAAAATGGTAAAGTTCTATCAATCTCTCAATGGCTTTTTGGACTATAGATGACACTCAATCCAATACATATGGATCTAGTAAGGTCTTCAGTCAAACTAAGAGATCTTACGGGCCTGGTGGAAATTTTCAAGAAATGTTGGAGTGGTTCACAGTGGCCATTTAGAAGCTCATTTGAAGCTCAGATTGCCATTTGATATGTGATGCTGAACCCAAACCTGTAATCCCTCAAAATATAAAAAATAAAAAGGAGAAGGGCAGAAATTGAAGATTGTAACACATGTCTAAGCAGAAAATCGGCATAGAAAATGAAGGGAACTTTCTTCAGATTGTATAATAGATGGCAGGAACTTCCATAGTTGGTAGAAGATCCAACATTAAATGTTCAAACAACTGTCAAATGTCATGCTATAGAAACCATTAAAGAAATGAATGGAAAATATTTCAAAAGGCTTCAGGACAAGGTCTTAGGAACTGAAGCACAGGTTGCCTAAGATCCAAATTATCATTTGATCCATAGATGACATTAAACTTAGAATCAAGACACAACAATGATTAAAGTGTAAATATGATTCAAACTTCATTTTTTGACACTAGAAAATAGCAGAAAATAATAAAATCTCTTTCCTAAAATTTATGTTATTCCTAATCCAAAGATGATACTAGCATCTCAATCACTCTGAATAAGTCCATTCTGAACTCTGAAGATCTCAAACTAACTGGGAAGAATAGGTGACACACAAACCAAAAAAAAAAGAAGTCCTACACACTTTGCAGGTGAAAATTTTCAAGAAATGATTGAAGGAAGGGTCCTAGGAGACGGACACATGCCACATTCAATCCTTATATGACACCAAAAATACACTTTTAATGGCATTGGTAAGAAATCTCAAGAACTAGATGAAGGGTCCCAGGCTGAGACAAACATATGGAGTACAATTAAGTCATTTGATCCTTATATGACACCAGATATCTGATCGCCTCCTATTTGATGACTATATAATTCAATAACAATGCCCGTGAAAGCCTTCTATATTTTGGCGGAAAATCTTGGTAGAATCCTACAGTCACCCAACGGGTTTATATGGAATTATAGAGTAGATACTTAGTAGACACAGACTAGCAGCTTGATTTCCATGAAAAATACCATGTCATTAGAGTAAAAGCTATTAAGGCAATATTATAAATTTTTAACAAAAAGAAGTAACCAAATTACTAACACTCATGCTCCCAGGATTGAAGAAGTTAATGATGGTCATTCAGTCCAGATAAGACAGCACACTATCCAAAACCAAATTAAAAAAGCGACTTCCAATGAGGTATTCCAAGGGATGGCTGCAATTCTTGATAGGAGTTGAAGATGCTTCTCCTCAAGATACCTAATTGCCTTTGAGAACATTAATGACAGTAGACTACAAATTTATAGGAAAAGACTGCACTTCTAAACACCTAGACTAAACCACAATTCATTAAAATGGCTACTATTATAGATAATATGATCAAAAGGAAGCCAAGAAGCATCAATAAACTGGAGGCATCTCTTTGATGTAGAAACTAATCCTTTGATGAGGAAAACTAAATGCAAGAATGGCTTGTATTAATCTTATATTTGGGGTGAAGATTCTATTTTCATATGAGGCGTTGTTTACCTATCAAAATATTACCTAATTCTACCCATGAGCCATGACCTCAATCTAACAATTCCATTTTTTGTCTAAATTGCAAAGTAAATGAAATTTTAGATGAGGTGTTCACTAGTGACCTTTCCGGAACCTTGACTTGTCAGATATGTATGAATTTCTGAATTTCATAGAAGTGTAAATATTCCCAATTTTTCATACACAAGACACTTGCTAAAAAATTTTGTATCTTCAAATGTCCCTTTTTACTCCATCATTCCAACTCCAATAACTAAGGTCTGAGGATGATCAATGCTCATGGATAGATACTGAAGCCTTAAAGATTTACAGAGCTACAAGGTAGGGAAGAAGAGCTTGGAGGATATAAGGTTGGCAATTGCTAATTTTGAGCCTATTTCATAATATCAATTCAGGCGCAAATAAAGATGCACATTTAGTAAAGATGATACAATCATGTGATTTAGTTGATAAGATATCTGAACTTGGATACTGTTACAGCTAAACTTATGGTTGTTGACCAAACTAGACCTTACCAAAAGAAAGAATACGTAGTATAACATTTAAGATATTCGACAAGCACAAGATATGTAATCCTAGCATCTAAAATTCAAACCATGACTGCAAGTGGCCTCCTTGATAGATTCCTACACATGGACTTTACGTTGATGAGATTCAAAAGAGCTAATAAAAAAAAGAGCTAATAAAATCTATCAGCTCACATAGATATTGGTACCTAGTTACCTACTAATTATGTACACGCCAGCAAAGCATCACATGGAAACATACTCCAGAGTAGTAATGAATTCCGAAAGCGAAGAATATATTAAATTAAATTGCAAACAAATAAAGTGCCCCTATACGATAATATGTTAGGCATAAATATATATTAAATCAATCATGCAATGAGAGTACCATAATACAAAAGAACTACATGTTTGCTCACCTTTTTTTCTGCGATAGATCTTAATTTATCCCAGAAGACATCTGTTATGACAAGTGGGAAAAATATCAAAACAGTTCGGCAAAATAGAATCAATTAAAAGAGCAAGATAATCACCAAATAACATCATTTAGCTTTTTACACATTTGAAGAGCAGCTATCAAAGAGAAGTGGACACATCTAAAGCCTCATAGAATTCCAAAATACTAAGTAGAAAACAAGGTCAAAATGTTGGTATACAAATTTTGCATGAAATGTTTAATGTTGTCAACAGGAAGGTATGTTAAAAGTACTTTTGTCATGAAATTAATGCTTACTTGTGTCTTCTATTAATGAAAACAAAATATACATAAATTATTGATGCAATAAGGAGAAAAGGGAGCGAGGAACAACTTATGAAAGCAAGACACCCTAACCATCTAAACTTTCACTCAAGGACATTGAAGGACCTGTCAAGCAATCAATAAACAACTATTTAATACCACTATTGGGTCATACCTTGGTTCTTGGTTTCTTGCTCACCCTGAGCATCTTGCCACTCTGATACCTGAAGAGAAAATATGGTTACATGAAGAAAACAAGCGAGTAATAAAAACAACATTAAGCAAAATTATTGAAATAAAATTAAGTGAGACCACCTCCTCACTCCTTTCTACTTGTGAGGCCGATTGCCCTGACGATTCTGAGTCCGCTTGCTATTTATCACACAAGATGACAACATTCATCAGATGCAAAACAAGTAACAGGAAAAACAAAAACAACACTTCTTAAATTACTCCACAACATTTTCAATCAAATTACTTCACAGAAGCCACTGAAGTTCTATCTACATTACGATCATAGACAAGCCTAATCACCCCAAATATCAACAGAACAGAAACTAAGGGAACATTGTAATACTCCAACCATCTACAAAATAATTCACATTGTTCCAAAACTCCATAGTTAAAGTATGAGATGATCTCTAACAAAATCTTTATCATAATTGTGACCTCCCATTGTGATAACTTATACCGGACATCCGATATTCATACATGAAACTATAATTTTGAACAAAGTGAGTGCATACATATCAACTAAATACAAACAGGCGTTTCATGTAAACATTTTCCCGATTTGCAAATTTGGTTTATATTTTTAATCCAACTTTTTTTGCAAACTCAATCAACATTGAGATTCCCAGAATTAAACTACTTACAAAAATCAACCACAAATTAAAAAGAAGAAAAAAAATCAAAATTCCCACACAGAATTGCAGCAAAAAATAATCTTTTTCACTTCCCATAAAAATAAAAATAAAACAAATATATAAAACTACAGAAATTGAAGCTAGGGACAAATCCCATCAATCAGAATTACAGTAGCGAAAATCCCAACAAGAAAATCAGCTATAAAGCCCAAAATCAAGCAGGAAGGAATAATTATAATGGGGGAGAATGAAAGAAAAATCTAGGGTTTAACAGTGAGAAGAAGATAGAGAAATTACATAGTAATGTGGAGTTCGAACAACAGGGAAGAGAAGAAGGAGGCGTTGAAATTCGCGCTCATCCATGCTGCTTGCAGCTTTGGATCGAACTTTGGTTATGGAGTTGGTGATTTGCAAATCGTTGATCAAATTGACAAATAATCAAATATCAATCAACTTTAGTTTATTGAGGGAAAATAACAAGTTCTCAATTTTGAAGTAATAAACGTCTCACCTTTGAATTGAAGTAAAAATTCTTAATACTCACTTAATCACTTGACTAGTGTAACCATGTGTAGCCGTATTTTTTTTTTTTTTTTTTTTTTTTTTGGTGTTCCATTCAATTCACTCTTTTGAGCTAATTCGGATTCGGGATCAATTTTGGGTGATTAGATTTCACCCAATTGTTGCTATTAGCCGTGTAGGTGTACAAGAAACGAAGTACAACATGTCACATAGTTAGTCGGTTAAAATCGGTACTGAGACTTGTGAATAAATCTCGTTTTAATGACTTGCACCAAAAGAAATACGAGATATTGAAATGATGTTATGACCGAAATCAAATCTCAGACAGATAATCACGAATTTACAATTCTTTCAAACTAGATTAGTTTTGATAGATTTTAAATGTTTTTCTATGTGATAAGAAATAAGGAATACGAAATACTTATGATATGATATGCTCTTTTAAAATTTAGTTATTTTAAAAGGTTATATGAATTGAATACTACGTATATGATTAGTTCTTAGCTGTTTGGGTCAATTTTTGTATTCCATATACCAATATTCAAGTTGGTATCCTAGATAAATATACCAAGTTTGCTTGCGAGCACTTTTTTAAAGATGTGCAAAGGCAAACATCGAAAAATCTTTTAAATTTGTATATACAAACCCAAAGTAGTTATTTGCTCTGAAAGTGGAAATTGGTCATGATACACTGCAGAAACTTGCACTTTTTCAATCAATTGTTAAGTGGGATGTATCCCAATGGTCTACATAAGGCATGGTATATGAGGTTGTTTGTATATCTTTAGAATCAAACTTAATGGGGAATGCACTAGAGGCTTGACCCCTTTAATCAATGTCAATGTGTATACAAAAATAAGATATAATAGAGACGAGAATTATCGCCTCTTTAAGCTTTATCTTGAATATCATCAGAGCAGAGGCCAGGCGGCCAGGCCATTACACTGCTGCAGGTGTAAGTTCGTCATAGCTTACACAGCATTACAGGTATCATATGTTGCTCGGCCCAATGCGATAGCAGTTTTAGAACCAGAAAGGCGACCCAAATGCTTGCAGATAAACTCTCCAGCAGAGAGCAGCTTCTCCAGGTCTACATTAGTAGTGATGCCAATTCCATGAAGCATGTATACCACATCTTCAGTGGCAACATTTCCTGATGCTCCCTTTGCATAAGGGCATCCACCAAGTCCTGCTACTGAGGAATCGAGTGTGCTGATTCCCATCTATAAAGAAAGAAAATTATAGACATAAGAATTTAACAAGGAACTGGTAAGAAAATTCTCACACAGAATTGCAGCCCATCCCCCAAACACAGTTAGTTCAAGAAGGTTTGATTAAATTCAGATATGGTAATGGGTAAGATATGATAATAAGGGAATTAAAAAAAGCCTAAGTCTAACCAAAATCGCCTTTCAAAAGAAAAAAAAAAAAAAAAAAAAAAAAAAAAAGTCTAACCAAAATCAAACCCATCAAACATTATGCAGTAGTAAACAGATAGAAATCTGAACTCACCTGCAGAGACACCAAAATGTTTGGAAGAGACTGTCCATAGGTATCATGGAAATGCACAGCAAGCTTCTCAACAGGAACAACAGCCATTACAGCTTCGAGCATGGGCATAACAGTGCCTGTAAAAAAAAAGGAAGAACACAAATGACAAATGAAAATTGAAGATCATCCAAGTCTATGTAACAATTAAGCAAACTTGGAAAATTATGTTATGCCTATATACATTACACAGAATAAGCTTAATTTCATTTTAAAAAGAAGCAGCTTCCTGCAACGGAGAAGCATTCTCCAGAAGGTAGCTCAAGAAGAGAAGGATAGATTGGATAACAACATTACCTGGTGTACCAGTACCAATAGTATCACCAAGAGAGATTTCATAGCAGCCCATATCATACAGTTCCTTAGCCACATATGCCACCTTTGCAGGAGGAATAGGCCCTTCAACTGGGCACCCAACAACACAAGATACGTACCTACACAATTATTTTCATATTTAGCAAATTAGCAATGATAAAATGATAGCAATATATTAAGGTAATCAGTAAGCATGTGTAGCAGAAGAATGATCTTTAAAATCAGAAGAAGTGATGCAAAGTGGACAGCATTTTAAGTTTGTTATGGTGATGGAAATCGATAGCATAGGTAAACATGTCAACATTTCAAATATATTGACATACACATCAAGAGAATTCAAACTTTCAGACAAAAAGTGTTTTGGTGTAGAGCATTACCCACGAACTGGAATTGAGAGATTCTTAGCTGCTGCAACAACAGCTCGATAACGAACAAGACTTTCATCAATGCTACAGTTTATATTTGACTTTGAGAAGGATTCTGAAGCGGATGCAAAAACAGCAATATCCTTAGCACCAGCTTCTATAGCCGCTTCAAACCCCTAGATAAAAAGTTAAGAAACAGATCAGTAAAGCTATTCATGTCCATAACTATTAAGTACAGATGACAACCATGATGAATTCACTAACTTTTAGATTCGGGGTCAACACAGGAAGACGGGCAGAATCCACATGACAGACTGCTTTCATAACATCCTTTGCATCTGAGAGCTGCAAAATAAAAAATTTGCCTGAGGTGCCTGCAAATTTTGCAACATAACATAAAAGTAAAAATCAGTTAGAAAAAGGTTGGTACCTGAGGTACCCATTTGGGCGAAACAAAACTCGTTGCCTCAACAACGGATAATCCAGCAGAAACTAGTCTTTGGATCAATTCAACCTTTATATGGGTAGGCACCATGTTCTTCTCATTTTGAAGTCCATCCCTTGGACCAACCTCCACAATTTTCACATGATTGGGCATGCCATTTACAATCTGCAATAACGTTTGAATGCCATAAAAATAAGGTGAAAATCATGGACCAAATCCACATCTCACAGAAGCACGGGCAGCAAAAAACCACATCATGGGTAAATTGATAGCCAAATCTTGCTGCAAAAGAGCTTACATAACAGGTCCAAAATACTAGAGACCGAAGAAACGAAGCCCAAAGTACCCAATTACCTTACTTCTTTTGACACCAGTGCACTTGTCATGATTTCCATATGTCGTATGATTTCTGCCCAGACTTAAGCTCCTCCAGCTGAAAGAATTGCCACGAGTCTCCCTTGATTTCCTTCCCCAAAGAAAAGCATCTCCCATGTAATCTTCTGTATCCTCACTGCAACATTTCAAAAAGCAAATCAAATGTGAAAATCCACCCAAAAAACATTTGATATGAGATAAGATTATAAAAGAGCCTGAAGCTCACTGACCTACAGCTGTTTGATGTGCTGCATCTGTTTCCTTCAATCCATCGAGCTCCCATGCCCATATCCTCTCCTCGGGGTCGACAAGAACCAGATGAAAACCTTCTATCAAGACTGCCCATGCTAGGCAGCTTGTCAAAACTGAGGGGTTCCTCCAAACTTGACATTCTGAAAGTAAATGTGGGAAAGGAAAAAACAAATACATAAACAAATACTCTATCGATACTTCAATAAAGCCATGTTCAACATTGTTAGCATCTTGGCTATAGGCTACAAGCATTATAAGATGTGTTTCAACTTGTCAAAGCAAAAGAATCAGCTCATTATAATCAATCAGAATAAATCGAATAATGCCAAAAATGCAACATAAAAAAAAAAGGGACCAGAATCACTTCATCTGTTCATCACCCAATATTATACTGTAGTTTTGTTAACTTGTTGAGAAATAGGTGAGTCAACTACCATTTACATTGCACACTCCATGTGCATGAACCTACACGGTACTCTTGATTCCGCTTGTTTTTTGTTTAAGAGTTTATTTGTTCCTTTGAATATGATCAGATTGCTCATGCTATTTTTCTCACTGGTAATTACATTTCAAACGGCCATTCTCTACACTATAAAAAACTTTTGCCTCCATGATCTTAAGTTTAGCTTTCCATGAGGGCAGTCAGGAGTTCAACACTTCGACCTCGATTAGATGACTAGTTTTGTTCATAATTACTTATATGAGTACATAATATTGTCCAAGTAACATGTATGGATGTACCTATCACTCTATCATACTATTCCTAAGTTCCTATAAAAGTAATAGCAAATAGACAAAATAAGAACGATTTTCGCCGCACCCCATTTCATAGCATTTACAGCTGAAATTTAAATGGCTTACATAAATACATATATACCATGCCACAAGTCAATATTATCAGTTTGCTACAGCACAAGTGCATTAAAAAAAGACATAATTTTCTACCATCAATTTATTTCCAATTTATGCTAAACTTAGTAGCAATCAACTTAAATGTTCTCTAATATAGCTAGTTCCACTTAAAGCAAGATAAACTTAGCATTTTAAGCAAAAATCCAAGAACTCGACAAAATGTAGAGTATATTTAAAACAAATTTAGCCCCAAATTTAATCAACGACTACTTAATAGATGTACCAACACTTCAAACATTGACATCAATTCAAACCCAACAACTATATGTACAAGTAATACTCAACTATCCCCCAAAAAAAAAAAAAAAAAAAAAAAAAAAAAAAAAAAAAAAAAAAAAAGAGGAATTCAGTAATAATTTTAACAGTTCTACAAAAAAAAGAGGCAGAAAAATATAATTACATCCTCGAATTACTGAATTATAACACCAATTTAACCAAAAACAAAGAGAAAAATTGTTTCCCCAATTTGTTACCCTAATTTTCTCAATCCTCTGTTCCCAATCAAACAAACAGAGGAATAAATAAACCCATCAACAGATCAACCAAAAATATCAAAAACCCATAAAAATTAAACTAAAAGCACACCTGAAATTGAGATAAAATCCCTGAACTTTCCTTGAAAATTGAACAGAAATCTCTTAGTTATTCTGGAAAAAAAGGGGACTTTTTTCCTCCTCTGCTTTTTTATTCCTCTAAAAAATAAATAATACAGTAGTGATTAATTTTGTGGGTAGTTGAGGAATTGAAGAAAAAATATTTAAAAAAATACTACAAAATGAAAAGAAAGCTAGTTGCTCATAAATCGTTCTTGGTATTTGGTGTAGAAAATGAAATGTAGAGAGAGAAAAAAATGTGTGTTGATTGTTGAATGATTTGGGGAATTTAATTATATGGCTTCTTGTGGCAGTAAAATACTTTGTCCCATTTTAAAGATTTCTAAAATTATTTTCAAAAACATTAAAAAAAAAAAAAACAACAATTGCCGACAAAATAAATTAAAAAAGGGAGGGAAATTGGTGGGTTGGGTAGTTTTCAGTTGGAAGTTGGTCAATTTCCATGCATTCTTTTTGCTCTTTTTTTTAGTCAGCTACTCTTACATATACTTGTATTAATATTAATAATTTAATATTACGAGTATTAGTTTTTTAAAAAAAAAATATTAATATTAGGAATATTATACTACTTGTATTATGTTATGTGAGTCTTGCTCTTTTGACTGTTTTGAGAGGAAATTACCTAGTACTTTGCGATTTTGCATTGATATTGGTAAATGAGTTTGGCAAATTTGGTAATACTCTGTATTTGATATTCCTTGGTTTCTACAGTAGTAGTTGCTAACGCTTCTCTTTTTACATTTATCGATTACATGGTTCATATTTTTAATTACTAATATGTAAAAATTATAAACATTTTATATTAAAATAGTATAAGGGGTCTGTTCCAATTTACTGAACTGAATAATTTATGAGAAAAGGAAACTAGGAACTGATTTGAACTATTGCGTAATCCAAATCTATGGCGTAATTTTTGATGTTTCTCAAATCTATTGCGTAATTTTTGATATTTCTCAAATCTATTGCGTAATTTGTCCCTCGTTAAATATGATTGATATTTGCCTCTTTGAAGTAACACTATAGAAATAATATGTACTCAGTACTTATAATCCATGAAAAAAAAAATTAGGGTGTTGGGAATATGGTTTGGTACAAAGACAATGAACTCATTAACTATGTTGAAGTTTATCCATATTTATTGAAATTCACTTTTGACTAGAACTTTTCAAGTCAAAATGTATCTACTTTATTCAAGTTCTATCATGTTTTAGAAATAAAACCATATTAAAGTTTCTTAAAGCCTACATACTCCATGCATAGTCCATACTTTTAACAAGGAAAATAATGAAAGTGTGTATGACCACTAATAATTAGCTGGTTGTAGGGTGTAGTAGTGAGTAGTAAATGACTAAAGTAGGTGCAATGAGCACATCTTCATTAAATTAACTACAAGCAAAGGCCCATTTTCTTACTAGCATTTAGACAATTGAACATAATCTCTTTCCTTCTCATTTTAAGGGGCATTAAATTGAGCTGAATTAAACCGAATTAAACTGAAATTATTTATGATAAAAGGAAATTAAGAAGTGAAATAAAATTGAAGAAAATAGATTCTAGGTACGTATGCCCTACTATAGTCCGTTCAGATACGAAGTACTTGTTTTAGGATTGTTTGTTAGGGTAAATTTAAAAAGTGTTGGACCATTCTTTGTGAATAGAAAACAAAAATAATTTCAATAAAACTGATTGAGTTCATTTCTCAACCTTTCGACGGACTCGTGACTTTAGTATTTGTTTCTGGAAACATAATACTCCTCGGGGTGTTAGAGTAATAATATCAAGATGCCCTAGAAATGAAGTCCAATAAATGTCCAAATATCCTTCGACTCCACCTAGATAGTAAGAGTATATACAAGGGCTCTACCTTGATGTCCGAGAGTTCGGCCCCTCCGATTCTTAAGTCAGCAAACGTACTTTCTAGAGATAGAAAATAGAGAGACAGAGTACTTCAGAGAAAAAAATTAGAGAGAGGAGAGAAAATCAGAAAAAAGTTAACATCATTAATGATTGGATAATTATTTATAATTGTACTTTTAGGCCGCAAGATTGTACTTAGTTGGACAAATTAGGGGTAAATCAGTATTTTGCAATCATTAATGATGGGCTGGCTCATAAAGGAGTATTTTCGCATTTTTAGGTCACTAAGGTTAGGACAATGGACTTAATTGACCCAAACAGTCTTTATGGACTTGTGATTGGTCATCAAAATAAATAGATATGGATTTGTGATTGGTCACCAAGATAAATGAAGTGCTAGTTTTTTATTACTCGATATTATTTATTTTTTTATTTACAAAACGAGAATCACAAAACGATAATGGAAAGAGGTTAAAGTTAAACGGACAATAAAGTTATTAATACGATAGTTTGTAAGGAAAAAATATCAACTGAAATTTTATTAAATTCGTAATAATATGTATCTTATTTATATGAAATTTTCATAATTTTTTTTATTACCAAATTAAAAATATTTAGCGATAAAAAATTATACATAAAACGAGCATTTAATCTAAACTTATTCCGTTTTTTTTTTTTTATCTGAGCATTTAATTTTTTTTTTTGTTTGGTACTACTAAGAGCACTCTCACCAATGGGGAGAAAAATGCCCATGGGTAATTTTTGGGGTTTAATAAAAAAAAATAACTCCCCATCAATGGTCTAAATTAAAAATGCCCATGGGCAAATCAATTTTTGATCAAAGTTTGGGCAAAATTAAAAAACTGACCAAGAAGAAGTGGGCCCCACGTGCAAGCTGCATTTAAATTTTTTTTTTGCTAAGCATACCTCAAAACGCAGCGTTTTGAGGAAGCGTATGCTTTGCTTCACCTCAAAAACGCTGCGTTTTGAGGGTAGGAAAAGCAAAAAAAATGATTTTGGCAGCCCTGACAGGCGCGTCAGCACGCCCAATCAGGCGTTGACACGCGTCCTGTCAGGTGAGTTGGACCAATCAGGAAATTCCTGATAATTGCAACGGTAATAATTTTGTAACGGGTATTTTGTGCTTATAAAATTAAAAAAAAAAAATATATACCAACGGCTAGAAAAAAAAATTCTCTACAAATAGAGACCCATTTTGCCTATATTTTCATATTTTCAAAATTCACATAAATTTGTTGTATTTACATTTTCTCTCAAATTCTCCCTCATAATTAGTCATCCTTTTAACATTATTATTATTATTATTAAAATAAATATTATTATTATTATTATTGGAAGTATAATTATTATTGTTATTATTTTAGCTTATTAATATTATTATTGTTGTTCGTTATTATTTTTGTTATTAATATTATTATTATTATTATTTTAATAATAGTTATTATTATTATTGTGTTAGTTTTTGAAATTAATAAAAAAATAGATATGGATCCCAATAACCCCTTTTACTCAATACTTTTTCAAAATTGTAATGATTTTGATGAGAATTTCATGAATCAACCTCAATTTCAACTTTTCCTACAAAGATTGAGCAACACCTCTCTGCAAAATCCTCCATAACAACAAATACCTCCACAACTTGAAATACCTCCACAAATTCCAACTGAAAACACTGATTACGAGCAATCACCTCCTGTCTACCAAGGAAGTAACTCTCAGTACGATGATAGCCAAGAAGAAAATGTGCCTGAGACACCTCAATACCCTCCGTTGACTCAAAGAATGCGGGTGGGTTCCAACCAACAACTCGCTAAAGCTAGTCGTATTTGGTCAGTTGCAGAAGATGAAGCTCTTATTAGGCTATATTTAAAATACAGTGGAAATGCGATAGTGGGTACGGGCATGAAAGCTGCTGAACTTTGGCGACAAATATCTGCGGCGTACGACATGGTTCAAGCTAAGAAGCCATAAATACTACCACCCAGAAATGCGAAGAGTTTGGAGAACTGTTGGAGAAGGATGGCAGCAGATGTACTGTTATGGACAAGTTGTTATGATGAAGCGGGTCCGTTAACTGGAAGTGGATTCAACGAAGTTGATCGAATTCAAAAGGCCTCGAAGTTGTTCCATATATCAGCCAAACCACCACACAATTTTGTTTTTCCCCACGCTTGGGAAATGATAAAGAATGACCCAAAGTGGAGGCCTAAACTCAGATGGGCATTGTCACTAAAGGAACGACAGGATTGTCAACTGCGTCCGGAAGGGGACACCGAGGATAGCAGTGGAAGTGGAAAGAGATCGAGAACTGACAGTGAAGCTGAAGGAGATGTTCCCGTTGGTGGGTTTTCATCAGGAGGTATACCCAGACCCGACTGGGTAAAAAAAGCAAAGGCTAAGCGTAAGGGAAAAGCTATTGCTCATGATAGTGCAATTTTAAGTATTGGTGAACAGATACAGGCTTGTACTGAAGTTAGAAGCTTTGAGACAAATTTACGGCAGCAAAGGTTGGAGCTTGAAAGGGAAAAGGAAAAGAGGAAAAACAAACAGGTCGAATTACAAGAGAAGAAGATGAAATTTGATATGTTGCAAGCAATTATGTCCAAAACGACGCCACTTACACCAACTGGAGAAGCGTGGAAGGAGGAACTAATTCAAGAAGTGTATGGTGGAAAGTAGAGTAGTTTATTATGCATTATGATTTCAAGTATTTTGTTTATTTTATGTTGCAATGAATTAATTTTTATTATTAATTATGTTCCAAAAATTTATCAAATTATATTACATTTTCATATATTTTGTTCAATTACGAGTGAAGTACTAGCTACTGTGTAGATTTTTGTCTTATACAATTATGAGTCAAGTGGTTGGTTTTATCAACCATTGAACTGTCAAATCCCAAAAAGTAGTCAAGTCCAATTGTAGTTTTTGTTTTATACAACCATTGAGTAAATAGTTTTGTAATCGTTAATTTATTTGGTTTGTATGATTGGTGTACGATCATTATGTTCCAATGTTGTAATCGTTATTGTTGTACTGATGAAAAATGAAATTTCGCATAAAATAATGACACAAATAATTAATATTGTACTCATAAATAATTTAATCAATAAAAAAATTTAGTTAAGAATAAATATTATTATTTTATTAAAAAATACATTTTGCAAAAATTAATATTAAAAATAATTAATATTGTACTACTCATAAATAATTTAATCAATACAAAATTTTGTTAACAATAAAATTAAGAAATACTAAATTACAAATTTAATGATGTGTAGGAGAGATAAATATTGATGGGGTATAGGGTTAAAAATAGGAGAGAGAATGGTGGGGATTATAACTTTTGACCATTGGTGTAAAATAAAAATGACCAAGAAAATGCCCATGGGGGGAGGAGTGAGAAAGTGATTAGTGAGAGATTGGACAACCAAAAAAATGCCCATTAGTGACAATGCTCTAAATAAAACCGAAGTAAGTACTTCTATTTTACTTAAGCGTGGGGTTTTGAGGAAGGAAAAGCTTAAACCCTAACAATGGAAAGAGAACAGGAAGATGAAGATGATATTGTTTGCTTGGACGAATCATTCTTCATCAATGACAAGTATTTTCCCCTCTCTCTATCTCTCCAAACTAACTATCAACTGATATCGCTAAATGTTTAATCAATTTTCCTTAAATTGTTTTTTTATTTTTGATTTTGCAGTTACCAATTAACCACATTTACATTTGGGTCTCAAGTTCTTGAGCTATTCTGCCTTAATTCAGCTTCAAGTGAGTACATTTATTTTCAATTGTTATTTTTCTCAAATGGGTTTTCTGGGATTGTGTAAATTCACTTTCAATACTTAGTTTTATCAAATGAGTTTTCTGGGGTTTTGCAACTACTTATTTGATGCTGTTCAATTCACTTTTGTGCTGTAATTAGCTGCAATTACAACTACATTTTTTTTTTTTTTTGTATAATATTTGATTTCTTGAGCTACTTTGTCTTCATCCAACTTCAAGTAAGTATATATACTTTCAATTGTTGGTTTGATGAAATGGGTTTTTTTTTTTTGGGATTTGGCTTAGTAAATTATCATATTGATGTTGAATTAAATTTATGTGCTACAATAAGCGCAATTATACTTCGATATATGTTGAAGATTATAGCTTGCGAGAAATATATTACCATTTCTTAAATAATGGAGAAGTAATACTGAAACTGTATATGGTTTGGGCAGCTGATTTTGATCTGACAGGCCAGTTGGTGTGGCCAGGGGCCGTGTTGTTAAATGAATACTTGTCCAAAAATGCCGAGATGCTTCAAGGACTATCTGTTATCGAGTTAGGCTCTGGTGTTGGTATGCCCAATTCTTTGATTGCAACTATCTTCTTTTTGTAGGATTGTAGAACTTTGTAAACTTGAATTGAAAATTTTTCTTCATTGTGTTTTTAATGAATTGTGATAGATGAGACTATGAATCCTGTTGCATTTGTTGTGATGGAAGAATCAATAGCTTTAACCTCTTTAACTTTCATTCAATTAAACTTTGTTAGTTTGTTTATTTGCTACATATGTTTACCTGAGTCCCCTGCTCTTCGGCTGTTTTCCTGTTTCGGTGGGCACAACAATGACATTGACTTGAGCTTGGTAATGTAATTTTTTGTGAAAAGAAAACCAAAAGTGTTACCAATGTCTTAAACAATGCTCATACAACCGTTGATAAATTATGGCTGTGAAAAATGATCATGATTCAAAATATTGAACATCTTATCATTTCGAGGCATTTGATGGAATAATGAAAAAAGGTTAGCCGCTAAGAAGTTTGTTAATCAGCATAGGCCAACTGGCCATGCCCTTGATAGATTGATAGTTAAGAGCTTTGTTAAATTGTGTATTAACTTCTAAACTAAATGCTGAAGCAATTATCTAGTTTTTATATTTCTACCTTTTGTACTGTTTTCTGAATCTCTCAAATTTCACCCCCAATATCACAGGTGTCACTGGAGTATTCTGTAGTAAATTTTGCAAGAAAGTTGTGATGACTGACCACAATGATGAAGTTCTTAAGGCAAAGTCATGGATTTAATAGTTTATCGATGGAGATTTTGAATGTTAATCTTGGTGCCTAACAGTTTGTGCTATCTTGTCATGCAGATTCTGAAGAAAAATATAGACCTACATGCATCTGCTGAGAATTACCCTCCCACTGGTATGTATAAGGGACTTGGAGTAGCAATTTGTGGAATGTGGTTTGTCATTGAACTGATATGCTTCTATAATTTCCTAATCTCAGATTTGGGGGCGGAGAAACTAGAATGGGGAAATTCTGACCAGAGAAATGAAGTTGTGCAAAGATATCCTGAAGGATTTGATCTGGTTCTTGGAGCTGATATTTATATCCTATTCTTTTTCTTATTTGATTGCAAATTCAAATCATTATGATTTCTTATTTGTTTAAAAGTGTTGATGTGCTATTTGCCTATTTTCCAATCAGCTTACGTCTCTAAATAGGCTGAGAGACTGTTGATATGTGCAACTGATTGAGTTATGCTTTGATGTTTGTCATCAAAGTCATGTCCCATAGCTTAATTTTCTGACTACTCTCTCACACAAGTTTTCAGTCATTACTCTTGCCATTTTTTTTTCTTTCCATGAGCACATGGTTGAAGGCCTTGACAATCTATAAGCTTTCAACAATCCAGTATTCCCTTGCTTTTTGATACAGTTAAGAGTCTTCTTCAAATCAGAGGAAAAGGAAGATGCAGATTCATCCTGGGTTATGTTTCTCGTGCTAAAGTGTGAGTAAATTTCATGATTTCTTTATATTCTTATGCATGCATACATCACAGTTTCTTATATTTGCCATTGTTCTTTAATATAATAAGCCATGTGGTTTGGATTGATCTCTCCGCAAAGAGTGTTCAGAAAGAATTTGTCGGTGATTCATTTCCCTCTTCATGCTAAGCTTTTCATTAAACTTAGAGGTCTACCCAATGCTAGTTACTAGATGCGGAGGCATTTAATACTGTAGATTGATATGAACTTTTAATGAAAGTAGTTACTATTGATACCTTTTGGTTATCTCCCTTTCTTTCATAACTTGAGCTCAGCAAAAAATGATATAAAAGGGCCATTATGGAGAATGTGGTTTGAACTTAGAACAACATAGCCCTCACTGATCAAAAACAAATATAGTAGAATATTTTGTATAAATGATTAAAAAAAAGCATTACAAATCACTTTTTTTTTTCTCCCCTTGTGATTTTGGGATATATAATCTTTTTAAGGCTAAACTCCCATATATATATGAAGAAAGAAAATGGTTTAGACTAATATGACTCTCAGTAGTATCTGGTGTCTTAAGGGATTGTCGTTCTATGTTCTTTCCTTTTAAGCTGGAACTTTGGAGTATGTTCAAAATGACTAAAGGTCTTCCTATGGAAGTACTTGTGAGTTGTGATCCTACAATCTCTATAAGCTCACATCTTTCACCTTTACACAGAATGGATCAGATGGTTCTTGATGAGGCCCAGGGACATGGCTTGTCCACAAAGGAAGTTGCTGGAACTCGTTCAATTGTTGGGAACTTGGAAGGGGTCATTTATGAGATTACCCTTTAGTAAATTTTACAATCCGACAATGTTACAAAAGAATATAGAGGATGTCAAGAAGTTGCAGCATTTCAAGTTTAGTTTTGGAGGAGCTGCAGCTTCAGATTCTAGACAGATACAACTTTCAGATAAGATAATAAGCAAGAAGGTGCAGCTTGAGGTAATAACACATTGACTATTTTCCTGACATAGGGATATATATAGACAGTATTGTGAAACTCCTTTTGGCACTGTTCATTTTCTATAAAACAAGAAAACTATTTTATTGACTAAATGAAGAGAACAAAAGATAGCTTTTTGGACATCGATGTTATATATGTTTTTTTTTTTTTTTTTTTTTTACCCGAACTCCACTGCTATTCTGCTGTGTATCTTATTGTTGCATCATAAGTATCATCTTCAGGAGTTTTGAGAAGATGGAGTTCATCAATCATTCTATCTTTCTAGAATTCGATTCATTAATAAAAAAATTAAAAATAGCTCTTATATGCTGCCTATGAATGGAAAATCTCTTTCTTAGTGACAATGTTGATTACTATGAGCATAGCAAGCATATGGAAATAGCTGCTTTCTGTCATTTTAGCTGTCATTTAAGTAAGATTTATGCAAGTGTGGGTGAAGCGAATGAAACATCAGCAGGGCTGGTGTCTGATAACCCAGTTCTACACAGTTCTTAAGATTTGGTGTTAGACCTAAATGTGTCCTATCCTTGGCTTAAGTAGCAAGGACTAGAGCCGATCTAGAGTCAGCAGTCTCTAACCCGGTTTGAAAATTCAACCCGAACCAATCAATGTTACTTAGAGAACTGTAAACCTACCCAGCATGGACCCTGCATTTTAGCGCAAACCAGACCACATACTAAAATTCTAGCTTTATACATTGAAAATATCCTTCAAACTTAAAAGCTCCCAATCTAACCCTCAGAACCCACTTGGCCACTAGTAGGACCAAAAGTGTGTTTTCATCTCATATTACTCCTAAATTCCAAATCATTGATCTACAACTTGCCCGTCTGTCCCTACTAATATGCACAACCTAACATAAACAATTAACTAGTGTTTTTTTTTTTTTTGGATGAAAAGACCCATGTACCCTTTCCCACTATTTCTTCCTCTCATTTTCACATAGTTGCAAACTCCTTGTTTTTATTTCATTTTGTGAAAAGGGGTTTGGTTAGAATTTGTAATGATGGAATAGATAATTTGATTACTTTCCATATATGTTTAGGTTGAGTGGAATTTTAGGTGAGATTGGGATGAACAATTCAACACCCTCTAACCTACTCTACTCTCAACAATACTATACTAAATGTTTTGTCCATTTTGCCATTAATGAGTAAAGAGAGGAAGAGTTTAGATAAGGGGGTGTTCATGTAACTTGTACTTCATATCATTATTTTATAAATGTCAATTTTGATTAACGGCGGCATAATTGGGATTAGTGAGATAATTGGGTGATAAGGCTAATTGCAATTTTAACAATTGGGTAACTTGTATTATCATTCATGATTAAAGGACATAATATGTACTCCATACGTCCATAGTCCATATTCAATATTAAGTACAAGTATATAACAAGCTTTGATGTTTGATTCCCTACATTTCGTGTGTCATAATATCACTATGAGTATTAATTTTGCAAATATGCCCAAATAACAAGTGATTATGGTGACTAATACAAGACAAATTAATGTACGAGTACCCCGACATCAATACTCCCACCGTCTAATCCCCAAACTAACCCTCGACTTCCACGATAAAACCCTCTCTCAAGAAACCACCCTGCACCACCACCACCACGTCCACCACCAACTAGAGTTAATATTTGATCATCCAATCAAAATATCTAATCCCCAAACTCACCCTCGACTTCCACGACAAAAACCTCTCGTCAGAAGCCACCCTTCACCACCACCAACTAGACTTAATATTTGACCATCCAATCAAAAAATCTAGTCAAAATTCATCAGTAAGTAAGTGGCCCACTCTAAAGAAAAGAAGAGAAGATGAGAAGAATAACACTACTTTCCAAGAAGCAAGAAGAAGCCATCAAATTTTGTACCCATTCATGCATCAGCATCCCTTACACTGTCTTGCTGGCTGCTACACCTAATCTCTCACTTATTTTATTAATCAGGTTTTAATTATTAATCCTTAATTTATTCACATGCTCATAATTTTCCTTAACCACCCTCACTAATCCACCATTATCCGATCCTCGGCATTATTTTTTCAGTCTTGAGAGAAGACGAGCCTAATCTTAATCCGCGAATAATCCCCAATCAAAACCAAATACCCACACCCATTCATGGATCAACAATAGAAAGAAAAGAAAAGAAATGTTTCGTCTCATTCTTTTCCTTTTTCTCTCTCTTCTTTCTCTTCTTCCTTCATCAGCTCAAAACTCATCATGTCCCTTAGATTTCGCCATACTTCAAACTCTGGTTCGAGAAAAAGACGTGAATTCATCAAACAATGTCGCAGCCAACTGCGGCTACATCGCCGAAGGACTCAGGCTCGTCCTCTCGCAATACCTCCGAACCACCGGCTCATTCTACCCACCACTTAGCTCGTCCGAGTCATGCTGGGACTCGTACGACTCAGTCGTCGACTCGTTCCTACCAAACTTCAAGGTTCGAGCCTCTTGTGGGTTCAAAACTCAGTGGATTTCCGAAGGTTGTTTGAACATCTCAACTCAGTCCGAGTTCGAGAAACTCGTTCCTCAATCCGCATTAAACGACGCCGTTTCGAACTGTAATCAATCTCTGGCAAATGGGTCTCCTTGTGCTTCTTGTCTCACGAGTCTTACTACTCTGCAAGCTTCGTATCTCAAATCGAAGGACCCTTTTAATGGTAATATCTCTGATTGTACTAATCTTCCATTGATTTATGCTGGAGCTGTGATTAATCAATTTGGACCGTCTGATCCTGGAACTGCTAAATGTTTGTTTTCACTGGATTTTTCTTCGTCCAAAAATGGTAGTAATTGGAAGAAGAAATTGCTGATTTCGTTGATTGTAGTTGTGGGTTTTATTGGGTTGTGCTCTGTTTTTGGTGGGGTTTACATGTATTTGAGGTTGAAGAAGAGGAGAGAGAAAATTGCTGCGAAAAACAGGTGGATTACTCGGGTCGGGTCTGGAACCGGGCTGAATCTTTCGTCGATTGGGGGGAGTACCCATTTGATGAAATTCGGGTTTGATGAGATTAAACGGGCTACCAAGAACTTTCACCGCGATAATTTGATAGGTAGAGGTGGATATGGAAATGTGTACAAGGGTTTATTGCCTGATGGTACTGAGATTGCTGTTAAGAGGTTTAAGAATTGTTCGGCTGCAGGAGATGCGAGTTTTACACATGAAGTTGAGGTGATTGCGAGTATTAGGCATGTTAATCTTGTGGAATTGAGAGGGTATTGTGTTGCTACTACTAATTTAGAAGGTCATCAGAGGTTGATTGTGTGTGATTTGATGCATAATGGTAGTTTACATGATCATTTGTATGGGAATGCGTTGGAGAGGAAGCTAAGTTGGCCGGTTAGACAAAGAATCGCGCTAGGAATGGCTAGGGGATTAGCTTATTTACACTATGGAGCACAGCCTTCGATCATTCATCGTGATATTAAAGCTAGTAACATACTTTTGGATGATAATTTTGAGGCCAAAGTTGCGGATTTTGGCCTTGCTAAGTTCAACCCTGAAGGTTTCTCACATTTGAGTACTAGGGTGGCTGGAACTATGGGATATGTTGCCCCGGAGTATGCCCTTTATGGGCAATTAACTGAGAGGAGCGATGTTTTTAGCTTTGGTGTCGTGTTATTAGAGCTGCTGAGTGGTAAGAAAGCTATACTATCGGTCCCAGATGGGCAAGGGCAGCCGTCATTGGTGACTGATTGGGCTTGGTCATTGGTTAGAAAAGGGCATGCTTTGGATGTCATAGAAGAGGGGATGCCGGAGTTAGGACCGGATTCAGTAATGGAGAAGTATGTACTGACGGCGGTTTTATGTTCACACCCTCAGTTGTATGCTAGGCCTACAATGGATCAAGTTGTAAAGATTTTGGAGACTGATATGCAAGTTCCTTCTATTCCAGAAAGGCCAATTTCTTTCAATGCTGAGCTTGAGGATATCGAAAGGTCTGCTAGTAGTAGTGGCTCCGGCCAATTGTCGACTTCCGGTGGGTTTCAATCATATTCAATGGGACATATAGATTTTGCTAGCCATAATGGGCAAGAGGAAGCAGTTGATCCTGCAACAAGCTTGAGATAATTTGTTCCTGTTATATATTCTTTCTAGTTTATTTGAAAATTTTGACCCCCTTGTAATTGAAGTACAGTAGTACACCTTGATTGTATAGGCAATTAGGCATGCCTTTTTCTTTTTCAATTTTTATTTTTTTGGGGTGGGGGATTTAGGTTAAAGATAGTATCTTAAGTAGGAAATAATAGGAAGGGATTGTATATACTAGAGTAATATGGAAGTTTAAAATTTAGCTCACTTGGTTCATGTGAAATGATATTGGCTCGATTTGGCAAAATTGATGGATGTTATGCATGTAATTTTCGAGTTTACATCACTATCATTGGTTTAGAGTTGAAGGTATAATTTAATTGCATGATGTACAACCATATCCGGTGAAGGTTTTTCTTCATTATTCTCGTATCATTGTACAAATATTGTGAACTAAATCCATTACATAAGTAATTACAAGTGTGCAATTGATTAAAATTGTCTTCCTTGAATGGTTGTGCCGATTCAAATTTTATGTCTCTTTTAATTGACTCTATTTTTCTTATAAAAAAATAAAATATATACGTGAATAGTCTAAAAGTCAAATCATTGTAAATAATTTAAAACGAATGAAGTATATTTCATTTTTTTCCATAAAATGATAGGAGAACTATGACTTTGTCAACCATATGTTCAATGACTTCATTGTTTATGTTTCCAATACTTGGTTCATGCACTCAAATAGTCAAATGCATAGTTTGTCCGTTGTGCTCTGCACCAATTTGAAAAAAAAAAATTAGCCCAATTAACATCACGTGTTTCACTAACAATAAAAATACGAGCGAAAGCAAAATACAAAAAAAAAAAAAAAAAAAAAAAAAAAAAAAACACTTTGGGAGTTCAAACCTACGTACATATCTAACCACTTGAGTTATTCCTCGCTCTATTAAGATTACGCACCTAAAATTCAAATCCCAAAACATACATGTATTGTAGTACTTAGTTTAAACCCAAATATTCAGAATTCTTACTTTTCCTCTGAACTCTAGTGTTTTATGCTCGAAAAATTGTTGTTTTAATTGCTAATTCCAGTTCTGTGCTCCCAAATTTCCATGGACAGTGTCCTTCTTCAACCTCATCAAGGGCTATTTCTCCCACAAAATTTGATGAACCCATTTTCTCTCTCCTCAAAACTTAAGCTTAAACCCAGAACCCTCTTCTCCAAATCTCTTCCATTCCGCATTTTCTGTACTACTTCCCAGAATTTAGAGAACCCCATTACAGAAATTCCTCCCAACGGTAAAGCCAGTGCTAATTCAAAATTTAACTTGCAAAATCTTAAACAAAATTGGTTGTCTTCTCTTTCAAATAATGAACAAATTGATGGAAATGGTGGGTTTGATTGGATTATTGGTATCGACCCAGATGTTTCTGGTGCTTTAGCCCTTTTAAAATACGATAATTCTGTCTGTATTTCTGCTCAGGTAATCAAATTGGGGTAATTTCATGCATTTTTTGATTGATTTTTTAATTGGTTGATTTTTGTAATTAATTATTTTGCGCTAAATTGTTCAATTTAGGTAATTTTTGATGTGTTTGATTGTTTAATCAGCTGGGTAATATTCTGTTTTCTTTGAATTATTGATTTTTGTGCTGTGGTTTTAGATTCTTCTGTTGTTATAATAGTGGGAAATGAGGTTGATACCACTATTTCTTGTACTCGTTGTTGGGAGAGGTTTCTTCCCAATTGGGGTCTCGGACCTGATTAGTCAGAGTCTAGTAGGCTATGGATTACTGGTTGAGGTCATGAGGTGCCCACTAAATATATTAACATTCAGCAAAGTGGATAAAGTGGCTTGCTGATTTATCTTGAAAAAGGGCATGTTACATGTAAGAAATTAAGGATGATTTAACTAATATAGGAATGATCAAGAGCAGTTGGTAGTTTCTCCTAGAAAGTGAAAAAGTCGAATTGGATTATCGTTTCCATAAGAAGAAATAACTTCATTCATTACTTGGAGCCTTGAAGGTGGTAGTAGCAATGTAGGGAACTGAACTAGAGACGACTAAGCATTACTGTATTCTGAAAAAAGTGAATCTTTTTTCATGTAGTATGACTTATCTGTATTTTGTAAACTAATTAGTCAATTATTACTTTTCCTGAAATGCAAATGAAAAATGAGACTTTGGTGTAGTTTTGAAAAAACTTCGACTATTAGGCCTTTTGATTCGTATGATGATCGCTATCTAAGTTTTGTTGAAGTTAAAGTTGAGCTTTTGGTTACTTTGCTTGGTTTGTGGACGCTCTATAGTTTATATCAAATGTTTACTAGCATTGTTGTTAAACTATTCCAGGTTTTTGATGCCCCATTTGTGCAAATATCAGTTGGGAAAACACGCCGTAAAAGATTAGATGCGAAGTCTATTGTTCAGTTGTTGCAGAGTTTTGATGCTCCAAAAGGTATCACGTCTTGCTAATTATTGAACTGACTTTTGTGGAATTATATTTACTTGCATGTATATAACATTGCAGTTACCATGACACTCTGATTTAGCTGCTTGTTAAATAATTGTCTATGGTTCACATTCATTCCTCTTCATGAAAAGCAGTTTGTGGTGAAGATCATTTTAAATGCACATTATTATCCTGGCCTGTAGAAGCACAACTGAACTAACATAGTCAATTGAAGGGAGAGTGAGGTGAAGGGGAAGGAGAGAAGTGAGCAAGAAGGGAAGAACTTACTCTCTCCAGACTCCATCCCTAAATAATAGGCCAGTATTGATTGAAGGTCATTAAGGAATCTGGCTGAAATACCATGATTATCCTTATTTATGCAAGCTTTTACATCCTTACCATGCCACAAGATAGTCTTTCCTTGTGGTTATCATTAGCATTAAGGGTAGTATGGACAAGCTGTATGCTTTCCAAACTAAAATTCGAAAGTGGGTGTATGATGCTTTCTCTTGCTCTCAAGATTTGCCTGCTGCTGTTGTCACTCTAGCTCAGTTGCTCTTGCCATCCACATATTATTTTCCCCATTTTATCTAGTATAGATATTTTTAGTTTTTTCTCTATCCTGTCTAAAATATGTATCTCAATCTTGTACATTTTGTTTTCCTTGACATAGTGACTCGTGATGTTGCTTTTTATTTGGCCTTCTATATATCCATCCCTTTACCTGCCATCTGCCCTCTTTGTTCTGAACCTTGTCTCTCTTCTTGCAGGTACCACTGCATATCTGGAGCAATCTATACCATTTCCTCGAGATGGAAAACTGGTAATTGCTGCTTTTAGTGTTTACTTCTGTCTTTTTGTTTGTGCTACTTGACTGCCTACGTGTGTAATTCAGAACATGTTATTTAGCCTATTTCATATTTTCAATATTGCAATTCACATAACATATTGCTTTTAGAAACATATTAAATCTGCATTGTTTTGTCATTTATATTGTCACCTCAAAGTTAAAACAATCATTACCTCGCTTCCTAACGGACAAGAGTGTAATATGTACTGCATACTATTTTGATAGCTCTAATACTGGCAGATTGTTGTCTTTTTTGTAAGATTTAGGGTTGGTGGAGTGGAGGATTTGGCTATGGGTTATGGATCGGAGTATTGGTTGCTTCTGGGTTTTCTGTTGTTCCTGTGCCGTCTAGTTCATGGAAAAGGGAATTTGAACTTGCTCGAAGCACCTCAAGTAAGGTGTGCCCAACTGTTATACAATATGATAAATGGAGCAATTTTGTACAAGCGTGTTAATCTAGCATATTCCCCACGGATGAACATATTGTATTGAGTGTTTGAACATTTGCAGGATGATAGCAGGGAGCTTGCAGCACGTATGTTCCCTGATTTAACCTCTATGCTGAAAAGGAAGAAGGACCACGGTACTAATAAAGTCTTTAAATCACTATTTTTCTAGCATTTTTCTTAAGTTCTTAAAGATGCATTACTTCTTTTGTAAACATGGAAACTTTGTTGTTCCCCTATGAATTAAAACTGATGCTGATATGTACATTCTCCATTAGCCCATTCTTAGCCATCTTGTTGAAAATACTCAACCAAATTGTATAGCTTGCTCGTTCAGTTAATTAGGAAACAGTGACTAACTTGGATTTGAGAAAGATGCCCTTTTTCTTCATCTGTAGTTGTTTTTGGCACGATACACTGATCTTGGCATATTTGTCAATTGTGCGAAACAAACTTATTTGACTTTTTCTGAATTTTGCGCTTGGTATAGGATACTTGTGTTGAACTATTTTCCTGAATGAAATATTACTGAAATGATTTCAAAATTTCTCTTTATCACTTGCTCTCCCACAAGCCAATAACTGTATCAGAAGTTTCCACTGACTTTAGGTGGCATTCTTTCTCTGGAGTTTTAATAATGTCGCTGCATGTTATTTCTTGGTGTAGCTTATTAGACTATTGTTTTTTCCAGGTCGAGCTGAGGCTCTACTCATTGCTGCCTATGGAAAAGGTTATAAGACAAAGGCAGATGAATTGTGCATGTCAGATGACACTCCTGAAGTATTGACCAAGCTGTGAAGCTGCAATACAGAAACAGCAGTGATAAATGGGAATGCATCATGCATGGATCACACTAAAATGCTTTCTTTGACATCAAGAGTGCAGATAATTGTTTCGTTGGGGCAATTTTGAAGTCTGTGAGCATCTGCCTCGTTATATTTGCTACAGCTGCGCCTGGCATATTAGAATGATTATTCATTAGTGAAATTCCTTCTAGCTTTGTAAATACAACTGATTAGATGTAAGCATTGTAATTGTTGTCATATTCCTGGTAAGTTCTTATTGACCTTTATTTGGGCTGATCAAAATCCAAATCCATGAGTGTCGTTCAATCCTAACTTTCTGCATGGTCATTGCTCGAGTAACTTCAATTACATGGACAAGAATACCTCAGATGTTCAGCAAGTATCATCTAGATTTTTAGCAGAAATTTTCTACTTTGTAAGACTTCTAAGAGACTTGGAATATTTATAGTTAACAGAGCTGGTAATGAAGCACATCAGATGATACACCGAACATAAACATCCCCCCGATATCCTTGACATGTACCTCCTCTGGCCCTCCCTCGCCTCCTCTGACTTCAAGATATCAGCTCATAGGGTTGGAGTGGTAGTGAAATAGTGTAGGTCATTGTATATGTTCCTCACGATTCCACGAAAGGGCCTAAATCAAACCTGTTTAGAAAGGTTCCATGAATTCCGATTCACACCTATAACACCAACGTACCATGTAGTAGTTTTGCTATTATTTTCATTTTATCTTGCCATATATGCTCAAAGGCTGTCAGATTTTCTCGTTCTTCCAAATTGAGTTTGAAGCCTCTCTATGTGTCCATATTATTAATGGTTACTTTGTTATTGATTTTTACTATGCAGTTTTTTTCTATTTTATTCTTGGCATGGGCAAATTTATAAATCTCCTAAAGCGATCTAGTTGTCCCAAAAATTGATAGAATTTGTTATATACACCCAGGTGTATCATATACCCAAGTAACCCAAGGTTAGTGTTTGCTCCTCATTTCATTTGATGATTAAATAAAAAAACAATCATCAAAATGAGAACAAAATACTCATGGGTCTACGGTACACCCGGTTGTATATAACAAGCTCTCGAAAATTGAAAGCAAGATTATTTTTTTTTTCTAGACCATTGTTCCTTGAGGTCAAAATTATAGAGTACAAGCTTTTGATATTACGGAGTATGTTACAACCCAATCATAACTTTTGGAAGGAACAATTTTTATTTTATTTTTTATTTTTGAGAAAAAGCCTTATTGAATCAAAACCTCTCACAAGTCAGTTGGTCAACGCTTGAGGTAGAGAGAGATGTAAAGGAACCCCTCTACCCCCAAATCTCTCTTTATAACTTAAGAGGTTAAAAGTTCGAACCCTAACATCTACACATGCTTGAGAGTAGAGGGATTTCCTTATCTCCTCTCTCTACTCTCGAGCGTTGACAAGTATAACCGGTCTAAGTAATCTGTTTTAGAATCTAGTTCGGTATGACCTCTTTCCATACCAAAAAATTAATAACATTCTTTTGGATGTCAAGTAGCTTAGTTAACTATTGTAGTTATTAGTTAAAACATTGAAGGATGATACGTAAAACTAAAGAGTAAATACACCTTCTAGATCACCTTCTAGTAAACTCGTATTTATTTATTTATATCTATTTTTAATTATTCTCGACGAGCATCTCCTAGGGACAGGCCAGCCAGGTAGTCAGTGAGTTAGATTTACAGCTCCCTTTGGCACGACCGTACAACTCCGTGCTAAATAACACTCGTAGTTGTCAATAAACGAAGTTAATAAACGAAGTATCCCCGTACATTATAATTTCAGCTACTCTGAATTATTGAATCTATATAATTGGCGAAACTAACATTTTTTATTTTATTCAGAATTACCAACGTTTTTCATAACAGTTTCATTATTATCTAACATTAAGAAATGTCATATGATGTTTCTATCATATGCTAATTTGCCAGCCATGTGTTGGACCATTTTATATTATTGGTTATATGTTGTATGTTTAATGCTTCTATTTACAGTATGTGATCTGTGATGTCTGCCACATATTCTATGTTAGATCTACATTAGATTAGGTTTCATTTCCAAACATTTACTATACATTACTCTAAAATTAAATGAAATATAATCGCGGAGATCGAGAGAGGACGGGAAATTTTTTTTTTTTTTTTTTTTACAACAGAGAATGGGAAATTAAAAATTGGAGAACGTAATTGGAGAGCATAATAAAAATTAAAGTGGTTGTATGTAGATCTATAATTCTATATATTACGGAGTAATATGCAACCTGATTAAAGAGTGTGTTTTTATTATGTTATACTCCGTACAAAGTAATATGATTTAATTTTTTTTATAATAAATAATATGTGATATATAAATATAATGTTTGTGCTTGTTTCTCATTGTTATTTATGTGTTATATTAATTAATGCTAGTATATGTGTTTTTATTTATTTATTACAAATTAAATGTGCTTTAATATATGTAAAACTACACATAACAAGTTACAGGACGTATGCTCTAATTTGTAGGGTTGGGATATTGTGACTACTAATAATATCAAGTTTAAAATCAACCTAAATTCAACATAAATTAAAATTTTCTAACTTAAGATGGCTAATAATCATTTTGGGAAATTTCATATGATGCTAACATGATATGCCAACCATGTGTTGGACTATTTTGTATTATTGATTGTATGTTATTTTAATAGTGGACTATTTGTGTGATCATGGCACAAATTCTATATGAGATCTAGATTAGATTATAGGTTTTATGATTTCCAAACCTATCTTAGTCTAAAATAAAATGAAATGGTGGAGAGAGAGGCAGAGAGAGAAAACATTAGAGCTAACTATTTTTAAATTTATTTTAGTAAAATTATGGTAATTGACCTTGGTAGGAAGAGTTGGGACATTATGAATGATGATTAATACAAAGTCAAAATTCAACCTAGAATTAATCTGTTTTAAGTTTGCTAAAAATCATTTTGGGATAATAAAACTTTTAGCGCTCATGGGTTTCACTTTGATTTCTACAAAGTACTCGTATGTTTTATCTTGTTTTGTATCATTTCAACTTTTGTGGATTATTTTTTATGATGATTCATGACGTTCATGCTAGTCAACTCCAAATCATTTTGGACTAGAGCTTTGTTGTACGTTGTGATTGTTGCTTTTAAGTTTGCTATCCAAAACCCTTTTTTTACATAAACAAAACCTAATTTTTATTTGAAATCCAGCAATTTGATAATTATAGACTAGTTTCCTCAAAAACTAATTATTTTAAACACTTAAAGTAATGTAATGAAAATACAAGACATTATTTACTTGTAAAAATAAACATTCAATTATTAGTAGTGGTTTTTGGCATGGATTTTGTTAGATTTGGGACTTGTATTGAATGACTAAGTTCATAATGATTTCTATATCTCGATTTGTAAAAAGTACAAGTACAACATTAATGCACAAAAACATTGGAAATAAAGAAAACTATCTCAAATCATATATTACTCAAACCCAAAATCACCCTATTACTCACAATAATTGGCTCAAACTTGGATCATCTTATTCAAACCAAATTAGGCTAACCAATTTGACATGTCTAATTGTGATGATGAATCCGCCAATCTAACACAAAGAGTTGTACATGCACATGTTACATGTACCTTCAATTATTAACGTAAAATCACTAATAACACCCTATCACATACTATAATAAATCTAATAAATTAAAATGTTCTAGGCATTTTGATGATCAATTCTTCATCAATAAGTTCATCAATAAATGAATAAAAATCATCATCATCTCCAATAATTTTCTCACTAACTTCATCCCTTTGCCTCTTTTCACCTGAATGTTGTTGCACTTGCTTTGTTGTAGAGGATGATGACGAAGATGAAGAAGAAGAAGAAGATGACCAACTCCCAACTTCATGTGGGAAGTTAAGTCTGGCTTTGCAGCCTCTTAACTCGAATGCTGCCCGATCATAAGCTCGGGCAGCATCCATGTCCGTGTTATACGTACCAAGCCAAATTCTATAGCCTTTACGATTAGGGTCTCTAATTTCCGCCGCAAATCTACCCCATGGCCTTCTCCTCACCCCTATGTAGTTCCCGCGTAGTTTATGATTATTAGTAGCATTATCTTTAGTAGCTACCACTTTTCGTGGTTTGCAACAGAACACGTGAAAGGTTTCTTCGTAATCAATACCTTCTTCAAGTGATGATTGGATGTACTCGAGGAGAGGGTCATTGTCTGAATGAGTAGTACGACAACGACCCTCATTATTGCTGAATGAAATTGTGAAAGAGGAAGACCTAGAATTATTGTTTGGAGGATTTAGTTGGGTAGTGAATGAAGAAGAGCTTGAGTTGAGGTTGGTTAATGAGGAGGATGGAGATGATGAGGTATATTGATCATCAACTTCATCGTCGAAGAGTTGTTGCTCAATTTGTTGTAGGGCTGAGATTGTGTCTTGAGCTAATGGATCCATGATGGATGAGACACCGTCTTCTCCTAAGAGAGATTATCAGATGTTTTTACGAGTATGTGCTTTTTAGATATATGATAACTTTGTAGCGAGAAACTAATTATATGGAGAGTGATAATTAATCTCAATTATCATATCAATTAGAAGCACCTTTTTTTTTTTTATGTGCACCTAATAATTTACTTTATCGGGATGAGTGTGTTGTTTAACTATGGGAACAATAGCACGTACTTAGAAATGTTAGAGAGAGGGGGGTGGATATCTGGAAGCTTAAAGTTTGTAACTGAGGTATATATAGAGTTCTAAGAAGAAAAAACCTCATTGGCTAAAAGTGTTGACTCTCAGGAGAATCAACTTGAAATTCCTTATTGACTTTGTATTGCTTAGTTGCTCAACAACGGAATTTCTATTATAATAACTTATTCAATGTACAAAGTTTACTGAAATATAGTTACTCAGTCTATAAAATGGAAATAGGTTGAATTTCTCCTCTTGAAATATAATAATGTGTAATGTAAGCCATTTCACTTGAGAAGGGTGTTGTATTTTTATCATTTAGTTATCAATATTAAAGTAAATGAATTTGTTTTTAGATACTTCTTAACGATGTCATATGTATTACTTATAAAGTCATAACTATACATATTAGATCTTAAGTATGTACAGTGTGCACATTTGGGGACACATATGTGGTTTTACGCGGATGTCACATATAATTTCAGTGCATGACCATGTATGTACGTACCATAATGCTAAAAGATTATCTCAACTAAAAGGTTAAACTAATGATTGAGGTCTTAATATATGTTTAATACTCTATCACACCCCCTCTACCTTGCGCTTAATATTCCACTTGAAAGTGAGGGTGAATGAGATTTGAATCCGTAACCTTTATGTCGCGCTGGCTTCGATGTCATGTTAACAGACCAACTAACTCAACCTAAAGCTATACCACCTTAAATGACCATCTCAATTAAAAGGTTAAGCTGATGGTAAGGCCCAACAGGAATATATTATATACTTTATCACATATGTATAATGCCCAAGGTGGCTAGCTATACAACTTAAATTTTCCGTCATTGAATGTATCATCATTCAATTAGGTTTAAGGGTTAAATTTTAACTGGGAACAAGTTGATTAATCTCAAATAAACAAACTATGGGCCTGTTTTGGTTGACTGAACTGAGCTCAACTAAATTGAACTGGACTGAACTTATTGGAGCTGAATTGAATATTTTATGAGAGAAAGAATTTAAGAACTGAACTGAATTTATTAAAGCTGAAATGAACTAAACTGAACTGAAAATAAGCTAAAGGCCCTATGTATGTTAGGTAATTGTTGTATTGTTATACAATTTACTTGTAATTATTTAATGAATTTGTTCCTTAAATTCACAACATTAAATCATATAACAGACCAAAGTATTTAGTATAATAAAAAATTCTGAAAACATATAATTGGATTATCCCAGATCTATACTGGATTACTAAGAGTATAATAGTTTGATTTAGTCATCTTAGATTCCTCCTTATTTATTTATGATTAAAAATCATATTGTATATTGGTTTTTGCCTAAACATGTCCTATTGACCCGTAAAAACAGGTTGTAGCTTGTAATCATAGGTTTAGAACGTTCCAAGAAATTCTAAATTTAATTTTACAAGGTGGTAGGAGCGCAGCTAAATAGAAAATTAAATAAATTAAAAGAATAATCCTATGCAATAAAACTCCTTCACCATTTAATTTCTTTTTCTTTTTTGATGATGTAAATAATAAGAGATTCAGGAAATAGAAAAATAAACCTTAGGTCTAAAATTAGCTTCAATAATATTCAAGTTTTATGTATAGATTAAAATAATCACGGTAAATAAAATTCTCCAATAATGTGTATATGTCCCACTCCCTTTCTAATAACTAAGGGCTTGTTCGACATTCAACTCAATTTATTATTTTATAATTTTGTAGGTTATATGACTAAACTAGAAATATGAGCCAAAAAAATGAATCATATCTACAAAAATCACAATGATTTTGATAAATGACAAAAAAAATGTGAAATGCTAAACATCGCCCTCAAATATCCAGGTAACGCCCGCATTTATGTCTAAAAATACGTTCCTATCCTTGTTATAAAATTAACCAAACTTACCTCAACTTTCAATTTTCACTCTCCACAAATATTTTAATTGTCCTCTCTAGTGGTCATCAGCCACCAATGGACACCGATTAACCACCAACCACCATAACTTTTAAATTCAACCAAATAATTCTAATTAATTGTGGAATGCTAAACATCGCCCTTGCTTTTTTGTTTTAGTTTTCTACGAAACAAAAAATGATACGGAGTAACAAACAGATCTTAAGCTAATCTAATAATCTTTCTTCAAAAATCACGTGGATATAATAATCTTTCTAGATTTATTAGTTAAAATTATGTAAATACTGGAGTAGTAATAATTAAAATTCTGCAACAAATTTTGAAAAAAAAAACGTGGATGGAATAAATTGAATGAACAGTTGTCATATGATTCTAAGACAAAGTCAACTACCCTTTCTGTATTAATCAAATACGAAGAAATAAGCAGATTAAAATGTATAATTTAAAAATTCATACGAGTAATTTTCATCAGGTGAAATTAAATGGGGCATACGTACTAAACTCAATTATATTTTATTTATTAATAATGTTGAAATTTTCTATCATAGCTAACAATGATCATTGTATTAGTACTAATTAATTACGAGATAGTTGATTAATTATAATAAGATAAAGGACAAAATTATTGAATATCTACTATCTAGAATAGTTAAGGACAAATTTTAATTAATTTTTTGGCTTGACTGTTAATTCAATCCAAGGCATCTAAATAAATTTGACATTGTTATATAATCATAAAATCCATGGTTGCGTTGGCTTGAATTTGTCTGGCTGATCAAACGTATATTGACTTGCTTGAATTGTATTAGTACATGTATAATACATTATACATTTGTAATAGGTTGCTTTTTTATACAGATTCAACCAAATACAAAGTACTAGGTTTACTCCGTAACTAAATACTACTCCGTATTAATAGTAGAAATAATGATACTCCGTATGTAGTTTAGGTTTTAAAACTATTCATGTTTATTGACTCTAATTACTCAACATGAAATTAATTCAAGTATATTCATTCATTAACTAGTGTGTGATTTGGACTTGGCTCCGGGTGCTACTCTAAGTATTTTTTTTATTTTTGTTGTTAAAACCATCACTACAAGAAAACAGCCAAATAACGACGGAAAAATTCCGTTGGAAAACCTTTTATAGGAAAATTGACCTTTTCCGACGGAATTTCCGTCAGAAACACCATTTCCGACGGAAATTCCGTCGGAATTTATTCACGGAAAAAAGTTTTCAGTATGGAAAAATCCGTCGTAAATCTCCGACGGAATACTAGTCCGTCGGAACTTTCCGACGGAAATTCCGTCGGAAAATGGTCCAGCCAAAAAAAAAAAGCCGCACCACCCCTGGCGCAGCGTGTCACCATCCTAGCCCTAGCAGACCACCACCGCCACGGCGCCACTCCCCCCCACATCAGCCACATCAGCTCTGGCTCCCTAACCCTAACCAAACCACCACCGCCACTAACACCGCCAGTCCACCACTGACCCCCAAACTAACCCTAATCCCAGATCTAAACTATCCCACCCAAACCACACCACCAATCACCGCAACTCGAACCACACCACCATTCACCCTAACACTAGTAGAAAAACTGCAAAGGGCACCCCTATATTTCCACCGGTTCAAGGAAAACCGGTGGCTAAAAGGCTAAGATTGAAGAGCTTTAAACCGGGCTAGACATATGGCACCGGTTCAGTTTTGAACCGGTGGCAAAAGATGTAAAAAAAAAAAAACCGGATCGTCACATATACACATAACCCTAATAACTTCTCAATCCGCCTACTTCTATTCCATTTTCTCCTCTCTCCTTCTCTCTCATCTCTCCCTTCTCCCTTCTCTCTCATCTCTCCTCTCTCCCTTCTCTCTCATCTCTCCTCTCTCCCTTCTCTCTCCTCTCATCACCCTTATTCGATCCTCCTCTCATCTCCCTTATTCGATCTCCTCTCCCTAGCTTCTTCGATCTTCTTTCATCTCCTCTTTCTAGCTTCTTCGATCTTCTCTCTCTTCGATCTTCACCACCAGAAATTCGACCACCGCCACAAAGCCCACCACCACCACATCACCATTGCCGCAAAGCCGCCACCACCACCACAAAGGTCGACCATCGCCACAATGCCCACCGACATCAACATTAACAACAATTTATAGGTATAATCATTCGAGGTTAGGGTTTAAATCGATTTTGTTGGGTTTATTTAATCGATTATTGGAGATTTTGTTATAGTTAAATTTGGGTAAGATTTTGGATTTAAATTGATTTTTCCGGGTTTATTTAATCGATTATTGGATTTTAATTCAAATTTTTCTGGGTATATTATCTGAATTTAATCGGTTTTGTATTTTAATTTGATTTTTCTCGTTTTTTCTGGGTTTAATTAATCAATTTTTCTGGGTACATGCATGTGTATTTTGGGTTTTTTTTTTTTTTTTTTTTTGAGTTTTCTGGGTTTTTTTTTTAAAAAAATTATGGGATTTTGTATTTTTTTTCAATTTTTCTTATAATTTTGAGTATCTGGATTTTTTTTAATTATTTTATTTTCAGTTCGTGAATTTTTTTTTTCAATTTTCTGGTTTTTTTGGGTTTTTTATTTTGGGGGGGGGGGGGATTTCTGGGTTTATTTTCTTGCTTTTAATTTCGTGATTTTTGGGTTTATTTTCTGGGTTTAATTTTCGTAATTTTAGTTTATTGTGAGTTTTTATTAATTTCGTTGTTTTAATTGATGCAGGTAAAGAATCAAGGTGTTGATTTTGGAATTTTGATTTCAATGTTGTAATTTTTTATTCTTCGATGTTTAATTTTTTTTTTTTGGATTTTGATGTTGTAATTTATTTTATTTTTTTGTATTGTAAAATAACAATTTAATCATCAATATATTTCTGATTATGTTTCGTATTCACGCTTGGTTATATGTTTCTGATTATATTTGTTATTTAATGATCAATATATCTCTTTTTGTATGTCTAAGTGGAGAAAGCAAACTAAAAAAAATACATGAATTGGCACCGGTTAACCAGTGCCAATTGTCTTTAATTCCAAAAAAAAAGTTATGGCACCGGTTAACCGGTGCCAAAAATCAATTATGGCACCGGTTTTGAACCGGTGGCAAAAAGGGGGGTAATTGGCACCCCCCCACATTGACACCGGTTCAAACCGGTGCCTTAGGCCGGGTTTGAACCGGTGCCAATTTCAATTTTTGACATAGTGTAACCCTAAACCCAACCACCATCAATCACCGTAACCCAAACCACACCACCACTCAGGCCGCCACTCTCCCCAAACTAAGCTAAGCCCAGATCTAAAAACTATCCCCACCCATACCCCAAACCCGTTTACCTAAATTGACAGCTTTACCGGCCGAAACCTACAAAATTTCTCAAAAAGTGTGAATATTAGCCTTCAATTTTAGAATTTTTTGACTTTTTTTGCCTGTAAATAAAAATTGCCGAAATGTTTACCATGGTCCCTAATACCCTCTGGGAGTCCAATTGGTTGGGTGGAACCATCAAATTTGCCTTTAAACGACCAATTTACCGATTTACAACTTGCACCGATTTCATTAATTCAAGCTTACCATGAACATTTATGACAACATATAATGATCATATATGATTCCAAACGGGATTATATGACCCCGAGATGTATCTCCTAAAATCTCAAGCATTTTCGACACGGGCCCAAAACCTCCAAAATTTCTCAAAAAGTGTGGATATTAGTCTTCAATTTTAGAATTTTTTGACTTTTTTTGCCCGGAAATAAAAATTGCCGAAATGTTTACCATGGTCCCTAATAATACCCTCTGGGAGTCCAATTGGTTGGGTGGAACCATCAAATTTGCCTTTAAACAGTCAATTTACCGATTTACAACTTGCACCGATTTCATTAATTCAAGCCTACCACGAACATTTATGACAACATATAATGATCATATATGATTCCAAACGGGATTATATGACCCCGAGATGTATCTCCTAAAATCTCAAGCCTTTTCGACACGGGCCCAAAAACTTCCAAAATTTCTCAAAAAGCGTGTATATTAGCATTCAATTTAAAAAATTTTGACTTTTTTTCGCCCGGAAATAAAAATTGCCGAAATGTTTACCATGGTCCCTAATACCATCCGAGAGTCCAATTGGGTGGGTGAAACCATCCAATTTGCCTTTAAACGACCAATTTACTGGTTTACAACTTGTACAAATTTCATTAACTCAAGCCTACCACGAACATTTATGGCAAAATATAATGATTATTTGTGGTTCCAAACGGCATTATATATATGACCCCGAGATGTATCCCTTAAAATCTCTTTTCTTTTCGACACCGGGCTCCGAAACTTTTGAAATTTCTAAAAAAGCATGGATATTAGCTTTCAATTTTGGAATTTTTTGACTTTTTTTCGCACGGAAAAAGAATTGCCGAAATGTTTACCATGGTCCCTAATACCCCCCGGGAGTCCAATTGGGTGGGTGAAACATTCCAATTTGCCTTTAAACGATCAATTTGCCGGTTTAAAACTTGCACCGATTTCATTAACTCTAACCTACCACAAACATTCATGACAACAAATAATGATCATATATGGTTCCAAACGGCATTATATGACCCCGAGACGTATCCCATTGAATTTCAAGACTTTTGGACACCAAGCCCCGAAACCTCCAAAATTTCTCAAAAAACGTGGATATTAGCCTTAAATTTTGGAATTTTTTGACTATTTTTTCACCTGTAAATTAAAATTGCTGAAATATTTACCATGGTCTCATGATCATAAATTTTCGTTGCTGATAATTATACGTAGATCCCTGCATCCATGACTCTTTTTGTCCAAGGTATATACTTCTTTGTGTCATTTAGCTAATAAGCTAAATTGGGGCTTAGCCCCTGCCCCCTAGTTTGCATTAAAAACAAACACTATGTTAAATTTGAAGGCTTTATACGGAATTTGTCCAATTTTAGAGATTTTAGGATACGGTGTTGACAATTCAAGTTATATTAAGGATAAAGAATGCATATTAGGGTCATATTTTTTTGAGCTCTTGTCAAAAAAAAAAAATGTTTTGAACAAAATACAACCAATAATATGTCAAACAAAGGCCTATGGTGGCCTTTGCATTGATGAAGGATTGAAGGAGAAGTGTATAAACCAACTAATTAAATTGACAATATAAAGGGTAAATTGGCATCTCAGGGATCCGTGGGATCCATGGGAAGGTTTCCGATCTAATCTCTTCCCGAGCTCAAAAAAGTCGAACTTTATTCAAACGAAGACTATATATAATTCATGTTTCGGACCAATTCAGGAAAAAAAATCAATATTGAAGTGAATATTGGAGTTATATTAGCTGATTTGAAATCATAACAGACCTACCAATAAATATACAAAATGTAGAGAATGAGTTTGGTTTACCAATGTGGTTATCTCAAGTGAGCTGAGAAACTACAGTAATGCCGCCGTAATTTTTAATTAGGCTTGTAATATACTCCCTTTGTTCATAATAATCGCAATACTTTCCTTTTTCATTCGTTTCATAACAATAGTTTCTCTCCTACCAACCCCACTTAAATTACTTTATTTTTTATTATTATTTTTCTCTCTACTAACAATTAAATATATCCCTATTGAGGGCCTGAACTAAACTAAACAGAACAAAATTGAACTGAAATGAATATTTTATGAGATGAAGAAGTTAAGTATTGAGCTGAACTGAAAATAATCTGAAGTAACAGGTTATCAAGGGTGTATATGTAAATTACATCTAACTTTGTTTAATTGTTGTTTTCTCTCTCCTATTTCAATGTTTTGATATTTTCTGATTTTTACTCTTCTCCTTCAACCTTTTGTTGTTTTCGCTCTCTTCCTTCAACCTTCAATTTCAATGGTGGAAAGTACATCTTTTCACTTTATTACGTCAAACAAGTCGAAATCAATGGAGGGGGAATAGCTTATCTACCGTTTAGAGTTAACCATGCCCGTTATTCTCACTTTGGTTATTTGGGTTCTCATTTAATTCCGACGGCAAAGCCGCCGAAAATGGTGGTGCGAAGTCAAATTTAATGGAGGAAAGAAAGCTCAGCTACCCTTTAGGGTTAATCATGCCATTAATTTCTCCTATTGTTATTAGGGTTTTCGTTTAACAGACTTGAAAGAGAGGGTCAAATTTTAAGCAATCGCCACAGTAGGGGTTGGTTAAACGAAAACCCTAATAACAAAAGGAGAAATTATCACGAAATTAAAACCCGGTCAAATTTTTAGCTACCCTTTAGAGTTAACCATGCCATTAATTTCTTCTTTTGTTATTAGGGTTTTCGTTTCCGTTCCTAAAACTCTGTGTCAACCCAACTGTTGCGATTATCACGAAACAGAGGGAAAATTCCTTTAAAGATGTTAACCATTATTCATATAAAAAAAAATCTTATTTAAATAATTGTATTTAAGAAAAACTTCCGCCTCAATATAATACGCTAAATTGCTTAGAGGTCAATGACCCATCAAGGCCATCATCATGTCAAGTATTCGTTGAAGATAATATTTTTAACATTATTTTGAAAGAAGCTTACAATAATTTAATTGTTTAACCCAAATTTGACGATCATCTATTCATCGTTGTCTCTTGCGGTTTCAAAAGCTCACAGCTATACCAAAACATTGTGTATGAATCCTAACTTAATTCGTAAAGTCTTGAATTCTTTTAAATAGTATGTGTGGATCGGACAAAAATGTAATTCACTGTGACAATATGAGATTAAATTTGCATATACATCATTATCATTACTAGGATTACAAAATTAAAATATATTGAATTTTTACATTTTTGAACTTAAATTAAATGACCGAACTTGCTCACAAAAATAAGTAATCCGTAAATCCTTCATAGTTTTTTTTTTCTTTTTTTTAAAAAAAATTTTGAAAGAACAATTAGTAATAGTTAGATGGGACACTAGAGGGAATGATGAACTTGTTTGTATGGATTCGTTTCCCCAAAGTATTTTAGCTTTGGTGGAACTTGATTTGCAATAATAATTCCCGCTCTTTGTTCTAAAAAAAAAAAAAATGATAAGTTTTAGTTTTGAGAGAAGACAAGCCTAAATGTATTTGTGTATATTTCTTTCTAAAAAAATATATAATAAATGATAAAACGGTAAACATAATATGTAAAACAAAAATTCATTTATTGAATAGTGTGGATGACAAAATGTCAAAATATACATAATGAAGATTTTTTTTTTCTAGGTTAAAATTTGACGGTAAATTTCTTCTAGAATATAATGATTATAAAAAATAATACTCCGTAATATGAAAACACTAGAATTATAATTTTACCAATAATAGTAATTTACGGTCAAACTTATACCTCAAATACGAAAATGACAAAATTAGTTACATTAATTTAGGCAATTTGATGAATAATTGGTCATCATCATCAAAAGAACAATAATTATTTTCTAATTCTCTTTCACCATTATCAATTCTTTGCCTTTTCTCACCTAAGCGTTGCACTTGATCAATTGTTCGTTTAGTAGATGAAGACCAACACTCAACTTCATGAGGAAAATTGAGTCTAGCTTTATGGCCTCGTATATCGAAAGCTGCCCGATCGTAAGCTCGGGCAGCTTCGATAGCCGTGTTATACGTACCAAGCCATATCCTATACCCTTTACGACTAGGATCTCGAATTTCCGAGGCAAATCTACCCCACGGCCTTCTTCTCACCCCAATATAATTCCCACTATTATTTTTATGTCGTCGGTCATCTTTATGACCAACTTTACGTGATTTGGTGCAGAATGCACGAAAGGTTTCATCGTAATCAATGCCTTCCTCATCAAGCGATGAGTAAATGTATTGTAGGCGAGTATCATCTAAACAACCACTTTCGGTAGTAGTAAAGGAAATGTTGAAGGTTGTAACTTTTGTGTTATTTTGTAAAAATTGGTCGCTAAATGATGATGACGACGATGATGATGAGGAGGAGGATGACTTTGAGCTAAGCTTGGTTGTTGTGGAGGTTCGCGGTGAGAGTTGGTCGTCGAATAGGTGGTTTTCGATGAGTTGTAAGGCGGTGGCCGTGTCCGGTGCTAATAATGAATCCATTGCTAAGTTGTTTGTAAGTTATTTTGTAGGGTTAATTAATATAATTTTTTTTTTCTTAGTGATTTATAGAGAGAACTAGTAATATAAAGGAGGGAGGTCTTGGAAGAAAAAGGTTAGGGCGTTGAGGTTTATATAGAGCTACGTATATCCAATAATACAATCTATTCAAAGCAGGATATTATTATTTTAATCATCATTTGGTCAACAATTAACATGGTTTACTTAGATACCTTACTCGGTCAAAAAGGGAAGAATGTTGATTTTCAAATAGCTAGGCTGTTTGTTTGTTATTACGAGTACTATATTATTACATTGTTTAATACTCCCGCCGTGTTTAAATAAATGAAACTTTTTTTTAAGTACTCCGTAACTTATTTCTATTTTTTAATAATATTCTCTCTACTTTTTAATAACATTCTACCGAATATTAATTAATGGTTCCCATAAAACTCCTTACTTTCTTCTTTTTCTTCAAACTTATACCCCACTATATATTAATATTTTAATAAATATAAGGAAAATTTGTGAGGAAGGTCCTTTTAAGTAGACCTTTTTGTGACAAAGACCCTTTTATAAAAAAAAAGGTGGCACAAAAGGTTCTTATATCATGTTTAGGTTGTAAGGAAGGTCCTTTGACCATTTTTCGGCGTTGACTTTTATATTTTCCGGCCAAAAAAAGTAACATCTAAGTTCCCTTTTTTCTCCCTTCTCTTTTACCTCGTTTTCCCCTTTTTTCCCTTATTAAACCCTAATTTCTTAAAACAATTAACACCAAAACTTCAATTATAATCCCATAAATTAAAATTGAAGACTATTCAAAGTAATTCAAGGCTAATCCTCCCCACAATGAGAGAAAACAGGGAAAAAAGGGAACTTAACTTAATAAGTCACGTGCTTTACACGTGGCTTTTTTGTCGGAAAATAAAAAAGTCAACGTCGGAAAATGGTCAAAGGACCCTCCTCACAACCCCAAACATGATATAAGGACCTTTGTGCCACCTTTTTTTATAAAAGGGCCTTTGTCACAAAAAGGTCTAGTTAAAAGGACATTCCTCACAAATTTTCCTTGTAACTAATCTTTTTAAAACTCTGTGAAAGTCAAAACTTTTCATCAATTTAAACACGGAGGGCATATTTAAAGCTTTGTTCTATTCACCTTATTTTCACCTATTTTATGTCTTAAATTAAATATGATAAGATAAATTCAAGAAAAAAATATATATTTTGATAAGGACGGATTACCCAACTAAGGAGTACAAATTGCAACTAATATATGAACGGTCTAATAATAATTAAGTTGAGTTATATGTGTTCAAATAAATACTGAAAATCAAGTAAATAGAACATACTCACGTAACCTTATAGAATAGAAAGCCGCACATTATGTTAATGGTGAATAATTCCATTAAATTGTTTGTATAATAAGCTCTCAATCCTATAGAAAGGACAAAGAGCCTTGAACTAGTAACCTTTTAGAAAAATGAAAAGGTTAAAACGAAAATGTATTGTGAGCCTATATATATATAGGCTTAAGGTTAAAGTTATCTAATTCTAATATAACAATAGATTAATTACTTTAATTAAGCTTTAATTTTGTAAAAAATAATAATAATAATAATTAAGCTTTAAGATCTTTAACTACTCTATACAATTATTCTTCAAAATCACAATCTTCGAAATATTTGCACTCCCTTTGAAAAAGGAAAAAACATATATCCTCCGTCAGCTATCTAGCTAGCACATCTAGGCTATGTTTGATTTATTGGTTGTGTGCATTATGAATGATAAGGACCCAAAACAATAACCGCTTCTCAAAAATTTCTGATAGTATAAAACATAATCCCGAGCTTCAATCATCAACTTAAGCTTTTGGTTGAGTTGGACCTTCAACACTTTCTCATTTCGCTCATCAAAACTAAATTAAAGTACTATGTAGTAATTTTAGTAAAATTAGAAGCTTAATTATCTGAATTAGGGTAAATTGAAAAAAAATTATGAAAAGTCTAAGTCAAAAATAACATGAACGAAATATCATTTATTTTAATGACCACCATAACGCCAGTGAAAAGGAAATACCAAGTATATATACTCCTCATTAAGAAATTGGAGTGAAGTTACTTAGCTTGTTGATTTTTGACTAAGCTATCTTGTATTACGTACTACTACTGAATTACTGATATAGGGTAGTCTCCATGAAAATGTAATAGTGTCTTCTTTATTTAACATTAATCGAACAATTAGGGTATAACTCATTAACTCATTTATTTTCTTAATTTTTACTCATCTCGATCTTATAGAATAGATTTCAAATATAGCTCGAAATAGAGTTTATTGTACCATGCACAAGGCAGCTTAGTTACAATAACCAGTTGTACATAGAAAATTGACCATACAATATAGGGTACGAACGAGTAAGTATAGAGTTATGAATTGAAATAAAGCTTGATAGTGTAAGTCTAAACAATCGTCAATGGTCAGCCAAAGAGCATTTCGGTTAGAGGCACATAATATGATCGCAAATCTTTACTCTTACGCCTAATTAATCAAGCTAAGCTAATTCAATAATTTTAAGGCCTAATGTATGTTGGTTAGTATCTTCTTCTTGATCACACCACAGGAATCTTTATATTTTACAATTAGTAATAATTTTAAGTTTAATTAACTTCATTAATAATGATGTGAAAATTTAATTAGCTATTAAGAGAAGCTAAGTATCTCCTGTGTTTTTGGAATAAACTGATTTTAAATTGTTCACGAGCAATCCTGTATTTTACCCCGCCTATTATTATTCCAAAATGAAGACAAAACAAGAACATAAATTGATAAAGTGTAGTAAAGAATTAATTTAATGATCAATGATGTATAATGGACGATTTATAATTTATTAATTTGTAATTTTGTACTCCTATTTATGAAACGAATTGAAGCATTTACTGGTCTAGGCACTATATTGACTTCCAACTTTCCAAACTTGTAAACTAACTTCATTCAACGGTGAAGCCTCTTTCCAATCATTGACCGAATCAATTGCTTGCGTTTTCTTGACTTTCTTAGGCTAAAACATTGACTTCACATTATCAATTATTTTTTTGACCCAAAACTTCATATTATCATTATACACACCTAATGGCTGATAATACTAATTTGTAAAAAAAAAAAAAAAAAAAAAAAATCATATTTTCTCTATCTCTAAATTAGAACTAGCAATCTCTGACAAGACACGGGAACATGACCGAATTACTGACACGGCTTGAACACGAAGTCGATATGACATGAAACCAACCTGAATACGACGTTTTTTTGATAAAGTGGTCAAATAGCATTTACATAATATTGATTTTACGAACAACACGAAATTGACACGAGATTAAATACAAATACAAAGCGACTTTTTGCCAGCTCTACTCTAAATACTATATATGGAACGAACAATTAGGGTATGTTCACTTCAGCTTAATTTCAGTTTAGATCAACAGCTCCAGTCAGTTCAGTTTAGTTCAATTCAGTTCAGTTCGGTTCTTAATTTTCTTCTGTCATAAACAATTCAGTTCAGTTCAGCTTATTTAAGCAAATCAGAACAGGCCCTTAGTGTCCCATTTAAATCATTTATGTAATGAATATATAATATATAAATAAATGATTTAATATTATTGTAATTTTGCAAATTCATTTTCTCATAGAACTCACAACTCGCAACGAATAACACGCTTTAGATGAAAAAAAATGGTTTAATATATAATCTATATAATGAAAATGAGGGGGTTAAGTTTGTTAATTGTTTGACTCACTAAATTACAAAGTAGCCAACATAAATGGAACTTGTCTTTCTTTTAAATATTGCATCACGTTTTATCCTTTGTCAAAAAAATGAAAAATAAGAAGAAGAAAAAATAAAAATATTGCATCATTTCGATTTTTTACATTATTTTTATATAAAATTTATTAATTCGGTGTGAAAAGGATTATATAAAGTAAGCACTATTATTTTAAACCTTTAACCTATTTTCTCTCTAGGGTTCCCAAAACTCAAAGTACGCTTGAATCAACACACTAATTCTTAGGTACGTAATAACAAACTCTTTAATTGGTTGATTGTGTAATTGCATGTTCTTATATCATTCAATAGCAAGGAGACCAAATCAGCAATTAAATTAGTCACACAAAATAAGCATGTGCAATTAAGTAAAGTATGTAAAATTAAAGTTAAAATACAAATAGAAAAAGAAATAATGAATTTAAACATATTCCGTATTTATAAACAACATTTTTTGGTGTGGCCAGCCAGGCAGCCACACTGTGCGGCAAGCTGACACGCACCAAAACACTGACCGGATAATCCTTGACCGACCTAGTAACCCCGGCCACCCTAGTTAGCCACATATGAAAATTTGTGATTTTTGAATTATTACTATGTATACGAAGTATATATGCACTCACGGGAATAATTAAGGCTAGGCGTTCCGTGTCATGAATAATAATAATAGAAATTAATTGCTAATGTATAATGTATATAAGCAAGTAAATGTGATAAAAAGGTGCACAATAGATTAATAATATAATTTATAAATTGTATGGTGCAACTATGTACTAATTCGTTTGACACAGGACCTACTAGTATGTAATCAAACTATATATTGCCTCAAAATATTATACCAAGTACATACAAGTATCTGTACTTTCAAGAATACATATAAAAAAAAAAAAATCAAATCGAAATATTTCTCTCTAGATCAAACACAATCTTTATGAAACAACCAACTCTTAATTTTCTATTAAAAATAGAGTAAGAAAATGTTTTTTAGAAATAAATGAAAGGCCAAATAAACCTATTTGTCCACTCTTTGCTTTCCTACTTATGAGTTATAAGAGTTGGAGCACTTTTTTTTTTTTTTTTTTTTTTTTTTTTTTTTGGTGTTTAGAGAGCCACAAGGGCGAGGGTGAGAATCGATCCCAAGATCTCCTGGAATCGGAAAGGAAGCTCTAACCACTTGAGCTATCCATCACTCTCAGAAGCACGTTTAGTTTTATAGATAAAATTACAACAAAGACACTAAAAAGATCTCTATTTCAGTTGTAATCATTCGTACTTTATTTTTGTTTTTTTCCTAAAATTCTTTTGTGATATTGTCAAAAATCAACGTCGACGTGTGTATTTTATTTTTGGTCAAAAATGTCAATTGAACTGATAGACACTTCACTAGTTAGAATTCTATTTTTTTTACAAAAAAAAAAAAAAAAAAAAAAAAAAAAAAAAAACTAATTTTCCTATTAGGATTATTAATTTAATAAAGAAGGAAAAATCAAGTCGATAATATGGAAATTAGCCTTAATATAATGATTTATTGATTTGGTTCATCTCCTGTATCCAGTTTGTATAATAACTGAATTCTCACTAAACCACATTAGAAGTAGACCAAGTAGTACATACATACTTCATACTAGCTATAGTCTACAAATCTTGACTATAATTTATACAAACGTATAAGAAAAGAAAACGGTATCAAGTTGAAAATTGTTAGTGTCATTTCATATTATTTTATACGAATTTTTATTACTACGCAATTAATTAAAGATATTAGATATTTTAGTTTAGTTAGACAATAATTTGGCATCAAGTTTCTGTAATAAACTGATGAAAAGAAAAGCTCATAATGCTATAATATTTATTTAGACTATTCATAATTATATTTACTCTGTATAATATATATAGTACGTATATTTATTTTTTTATTTGAAGTGAATAATAAGATCATAAAATAAATAAGGTAAATTATACATGCCCTTAATTGTAATTGAAGCTTTTGTTTAGCTTGTGGTAGGTGTATGTGTATTGTGCGTATTAAAAAAATCCCTTCATCCTCCTTCCGCTATGATTGTGAATTGTGATGGTGTAATATTCTCCTAATAAACAAATATTCCTTTCGAGAATTTAATTTACATACATATTCCGTATATTGTATCAACTCTACGCTTATGACATGCAAATTACACATAAAAAGTGGAATAGAGGATTCAAAATTAATTATTTTGTGTACAAGTTCATGCACTAGTGATCACGGGCATAAATTTAGGAAATGGGCACTAGAAATTCTCATGATACCATGGGATGTGTCAAAGGATATGATTTTGACCAAAATTATTTGCTTTATTATGTTCCAGCAATGAAGCCATAATACCAGGAATTTAACAATTTCACAGTCCACACTCCACACTCCACTAACAAATCACCCACGTACATAATTTTTTTATTTTACTCATCTTACTTCACTAACAAATATTTTATTTATATTTTTGTTACACTAGTTTACATGTAATTGGCTCAAACTTTTATTTAACACAAAGTATATAATATCCTCCCTCTAATTCAGGAACCTATGTTTTCGGTTTGAAATTTCAAAATTTCATGCACTATACTATACTTGTATATATATGTATAACTTTGCACATTTTTTGTTTAATTGAATTTCATTCCTAGCCAAATAAACTCACAATTTCTATCAAATGGAAAGTATTTCTCCAAACAAAGATGATTTCTACTCTTACTACACGAGTGCACCAACTAGTCCTAGGAGGTACAACCGTGCAAATGATTTTTTCTTTCTTAGCATGCCTACTAGCCCCTCAAGGAATTCATCTAGGTTCAAGTCCGGATCGATAACACCCGTGATATCCGAAAATTACTCTCCTTACGCGGATTTTGAATTTGAGGGGAGTAAGAGGTTTGACCCCTATGAGAATAATGGGTTTGAAAAGAGTGGAGATCTTTCTATAGCGTATGCTGATGAGTTGTTTTGTGATGGGAAAATGGTTCCCTTAAGGCTCCCACCACGAGCCCACGACTCGAGGGTTGATAAAAGACGTGGTAATCATTCGACTGCCTCGTCTCCAGGGGGAAGAAGCTCTAAGGTCAAGGTGCCATTCTTGAGGCAAAGGAGCTTGTGGAATGATGGGTTTGATCCATTCTTAGCTGCTTTGAACAAGGTTAAGGAAGAAAAAAATGTGATGGGCTCAAGTGAAAAGAAGGCCCAGCTTAGGCGGTCCAAGTCACTCTCACCATTTAGAAGGCCCATTGGGTCAGCAAGATGTGATACCCATCATAAACATAGCAAAGTGGTTCTAAGCCCAAAGAAAGATGATTTTGGGCCTTTTAGCCCATTTAATCCAAGTGATTTTGGGCCCATCCTAGAACTCAAAGAAAATATGGGGAAATCTGAGTCTTTAGAGTGTAGGAAGCAAAGGATAAAGAAATACCTATTAAAAAATGCATCATTTGGGAAGAATGTAAATGAGGAAAAGAAACAACATAAAACTCCTTTGTTGCTGAGGAAGATGCATAATTCTCAGATATTTGGCTTGAAAAACTCAAACACAATATTCAGGATATCTAGAGGAATGAAGAGTTTGGTGAAACACAGAGCAAGAATTTTCTATTGCTTGGCAAAGGGTTTTGGTATTAAAGGCACAACAAAGATGAGTTAGATATTCAACATATAGCTTTTTTGTGCTTATAAACTTTAATGCCATCAAATATTGAATTGTTTTCCATTTTATGTGGTGTAACGATTTTTTTTGCACAACTACATACACTACATCATATATTGCGTCATATAAATAATAGGGAAATTCTCAATACTACTCTCCAATTTTATAAATTCCCAAAGGTGAACAAAGTTTTATGAAATTATCTTTGGTACTCACTAATTACCATTTCTAATTCAATGGAAACATTAATGATATAAATATGCAATTATAAGCTAACCCTAGTTAACTAAAGGCATAATGACTAGTATAACCTTATTAATTAAATAAAAAATAAAAATAAAAACCCAGCCACCCCAACGACGGTCGGTAATCGAGGAAAAAGGGGTGGTGGGTTTTTGTTCAATAGGGGTATTTTAGATATTTTTCTTTTATCTTAAAGGAGAGAGACTAGCAATTTGATAAACGGACCTAGGCCACATCTGTCACAAACTGTCCACTATATATCACCAAGGAGGTTCCACTTCAAAACCATATGGCAATGAGGGGAGTAGTCCCTTAGCCTTATAAATTAGACACAATTTTCTTATTTCTTCAATGTGGGATACACATTCCATTACAAACTCTCACTTATAAACTCAACCAATGTGGGACAACACGCCAATCATATGTGGGTTTTCTCATGGGCTAAACACAATTATATGTGCCATTAAGGAGGTTCCAAGGGATTACCCTAATGTTGTGATAAAATCTAACTCCATTGTTGCTATCAAGGCTTTATAGCAACTTTCCAAAGTAGAGGACGAGCTAAAAATTATAGTTAAGGACATCATCAGCTAGGCCAGTAAAAAAGAGCCTTTGTAATATGTATTAAGATGGGTAGAAGCAATGTCCGTAGAGCCCACTTCCTAGCAGATAGTGTGTTTGTTCTCTATCTTTTCACCACCATAAAAAAAATTTAAAAAAAAAAAACTCAGTATGATAAAACTAACTGTTATTCATTCATCACTGTAAAAAGTTCTTATTACTACAAAAGATTTATGGTATGTCGCTATTTATAGTACATCAAATTCGCACCCATACAGATGCAATGTGGCATGGAATGAATTTCACAAGAGTAGCCATTCACTACCCCTTATAATTCATCCATGAAAAATTTTGGTGGGAATAAAATTGGAGGCTAAAAAGATGATTTTCATCACAGTAAATACTAGCCTGTTTCTGCATGTTCTCATCACAGCTTTCACAAAGCACAAAAAATAAATTTCATAGCAACTACTGATGTGGTTAGCATACTTGTGAGCTGCTTCGGTTGTTTAGATCTGACGCCTAGAGGGAAACAAATTTTCCCGAATATGTTCACTACTCCAAAATTTCCCTAGGCCACAAACTCTTCCAAGTAGCAATTTCATTGTTCGTGTGAAGCTTTCTTATACCTCCATAAAATCCATCTCCTTCATTTCCTTCTTCTCTGTGATCCTTCCTGTTAACAATTGTCCTTCTCCACCGTGATCCAGGTGTATATTGATTAAACTCGAGCACAACAGTGTCTGCTTTCAACCAAAGAAGTGTGTCAAATGACTAAATCAAACGTAGTGCACGCAAACCTCACAAAACTAACATCTGTTAGAATATGCTGAAACCAAAGACTGAACCTCAGGACTGACATTCATTAGAGTTTCTAGTTGTCAAGACGCGTATCCATGTATCAACGGACTCCAAATTAAGCATGGAAGGAAAGCACAAACTTACCAAGATTAGACTAATTTGGACTTTTAAACTTTATCCAAATAAATTATGCCTCTAAGGGCCTAGAGGTATAGGTTTTTGAGGTGATTAAATGGTCCAACACTCTCCAACCAGAAAAAAATGGTGGTGGAAAGATGTGAAACAACATAAAAGAAGATAAAACAAAAGGACAAATAATGGGTCAGATTGCAACTTGATAAGAAATCATTATGCAACCATTGTTGTCAAAAGGCGAAAAACATGAGATATCCACCCAAGTGGGGATCCGATGCAACCAAACAGAACCTCAAGGAAGAGGACATCAGTTGCTTTCAGTATGCCTGGCAATAAATATTCTCTTGAAACAAGAGGTCAGGCCATTGCCGGAGAAAACTAAGACACATAGACAACGATATGTCCTGGGGACCAATGACTCAGAAAGAAGATGACCCATATGCTTGATGACCATTACAAAAATAAGTTTCAAGGAGAAACTTATGGCATTTAACACCATTAACCTAATTACCTAAAAACAGCATCAAACCACACCCTCCAACCAGAAGATTATATCACTCCCTCTGTGTCTTGTGAATAGGCCACATTTCAATTTATAGCTATACCAATATACTCCGCATCAGGCTACATTACCATACATTGATATAGTAGAAATTTTTGTTCTCATATTAATGCTTGAAAAGATGCCCCTTTTATATTGATATGGGGGAGATGTTCAAATGTAAAAAGTCAAGGTGATGATTGCGATATTCTAACTCAATTTCTTAAAAACGAATCTCAATATGATATAGCATTTTTTGTAAAAAAAAAATAGTATTCCACATAGTATATGCAGTGGGAAAAAATGAAATGCTAATTAGTAACTTAAACCCCATACTTTTTAAATTGGAGAAGAGCACAAGGGATGAAATCCCAAGCAGAAATTCTAGTTCACGTTACTTGCAGTATGCTTAAAGTAAAGATTCAGTGATTACAGGCATTAATTTACTCACCACTGCTATGACATCGGCAATAATTCTCATTCCCATCACATGACTCCAAGTGGCCAACGACACCATACCACCATCCTGCGATAAATATGCCGAACACTTTTGTTAACTTAAAAATTATTGGATTGTTTCGATGTTAAACTTCTAAGTTATCTTCAACCAATGATTTGTTAAAGTATGAATAAAATACAATAAGAAGAATGATTGAAGTATCAGCCAGAACACTGCAAAAGATCCAAAATTAAGCTTAATTATATGGGACGGAGAAAGTATTCATTAACTAAAAGTGCATCAGCAATTTAGTCCTAAGCACGATTTTAAAATAAGCAATTAGGCCTAAAATATGTTCTGTTTTCAGTATCCAGTAAGAAAGGACCAGAGGATCTCATGGCCTCGTGCGAATATGGAATTATACACAAACATTGTTCAATGTAGTTAATTAAAAGCGGCTTTAGCATCTGCCCCTGTTGACAGTATCGACCACCAATAGAAATTCATAGTTCCAGTATTTCAGCCACATAAAAATACACATTAGTGCAACACTAATGATAACACCCCTCTTGACCATCCAAAGAAGCAAAACAACTCTTACACCGTTTGGATAATTTGGAAGGTCATTACACATTGACTCCACTAAGAAAATTATTTATACTCAACCTGTTTCTGAATAATAAGCCACCTTTATTATTAAGATTGTCGCAAAATAATAGGCCAATCTCTAATTTTGTGAAGTTAAACTGTATATTTCCGTACATTAAACTTAAACAATCCTATTCTCTCAGAATTTCACAGAAAAACTAATATAAATCGAAGCTCGACTACATCTTCATGTTTGTCTGAAGGGGTATTGTTGTGTAACTTTTCACGAAAATTTCCTCTCTACTACGAGCACTACCTTTTCACGTCAAGGAAAGTCTCAGAAGGCCAGCTACCATAAACAAGTTGCTAAACTTTTATTGTTAGACTAGCAAACCTAATTACAACCAATTAAGAGAAAGATCTAAAAAAATTAAGTCAAACCAACCTCTATCTAGTATCCAGCTGCACAAATTAAACAAATAATCACACGACTACCATAATGACACCCAATTAATTAGATTGTGGAACGTACCGTAAGGGAATTCTTTATTCCGTCTCCACTGGATCTCTATGTGATCTCCAGGGTGTAGATCATTTAAGCAATCAGATGCATGAAGATCATGTGGTGGAGTATCCACTGGTGCTGCCCTTAGCCTTTCCCATTGAATACCACTCTCTATCGCCACTGCCCTTCTTCCATGGGGCGGATATCTGCAAGCATATAAGTCCTTTTAAACATACATAATTTGACCATAAAACATGTCTATGACGTTCTTTAAATTTTCCATGTACATGTATGACTCCATTAATATATATATGATGTTCTTCAAATTTCCCATGTAAATGCATAATTCCATTAATCAAATGGTTCTCCAAATTTTCCATGTACATATATACCTGAAAGCTTTTAACTCCTTCCATTTATCAAATGTAGTTTTTATATGGAAGAATTCGAAGCTTGGATTGAATTCCTTACCTTGCCTGGAACGTGTCGGTTTGGGGATCATAGCTAAGCTCAGCATCATAGCAGGATAACATAAAACCAACATGACCATTCTGGCAAAACAATAGTAAAACAGAACTTTCTTCAGTTTCTAAAAAAGGAAAAATGACAAATTGATCATAAAAGAAACGTCAAGCACATATTTAGGATGAATGATTGTGATCAATATACCTCACGGTTGTAAACTTGAGCAGGGAACCAGAATTTGCCACTTTCAATAGCCAAAAACCAGGACATAACAGTATCAACCAGAGGAGAAGCAGAATCCTTATTATAAGACTTATCAAATTTTGATGCAAACCATGTCAAAGGCCATACATACCAAATATATTTCATAAAACCTTGTGATTTTTTCCCAGCAGAAACACTTGAATTTCGTCTAGAGGCAATAAACCATTGCCATTCGCGGTAAGTTGCAGGACCTAAAACCCTTCCCCATTTATGCTTCATGTGTCTATCCCAAAGGTGGTCACTGATGCATCTCTCCCTCAATGAGCTACAAACAGCAGCCATACTACACAAGCCGGCGGGTGAAAGCTTCTCAAGAATACAATCCAATGCTAGTTCAGGCAAATCCAAGACTGATAATTGCTCATTTTCATGAACATTCTCAAATTTAGAGCTAAAAGTACCCTGTTTTATTGCCATAATAATAGAGGGAAATGGAAGATCCCAAAAAATACCAAAGATTCCTTTTTTAAGAGCTTTGCAAATGGGAGAGAAAGACAACTCTTTCCAGAAGCAGAGTGGTAAAAACCTCACATCACTAGCCCAAGGTGGAAGTGGTTTTAAAGATAAGGAGTTTAGAAAGAAGAAGAAGAAGGAGATGCCAGTAACCAACAAGAAAAGCATTTAGAATGATTTGTATTTACTAATAATAATAATAGTAATGATGGATAATAATCTAATTCAAGTTATTAAAGATAAGGGCACACCCAAAGCAAGGAAACCAATTGAGGCAAAAGCAATTATAAGCCAAGAATTAAATTATAGAAATTGATGAAAGGTCTTACTCTTTCTTCCTCAACACCCCCCTAACTTTTTCTTACAAAAAAATAAACAAATGGGGTGAATGGGAAGAGGATCTTCAAACCTCACACTTCCAAGATATGGGTTTTTATTGGTTTGATAGAGCCCACCAAAACCCAAAAAATGGACCACCCTCTCAACAATCTAATCCAATCAAAATAGGTGGTTTCTTTAAACACTCCTCTCTATGCGAATAATGATACGGCTTACTTTAATACAAATGTCTAACTCTCAAATATATCGTGTACTCGTACAATAACACATACGAGTACAAGTATACCGTGGTATCCTCTATTACACGCGCTCTCTTCTTTAGTCTAAAAAGGACAGAATAAGGTGGACATTCATTCACCTAGTTGACACCCAAAAGGTGTTGCTTACTTGAGCTTCTTCTTACCTTAATAATAATAATAAGGTTTACTACTAAAGTACTAAAGCTATCACCTTTACCTAAAAAGCTCATCAGATAATCAAAATAGATGAGGAAGATGATCAACAATAATAAAAATAGTTTTTTCAATTCAACCCAAAATCAAAATGGAGTTTTTTCTACTTTTATAATCTGACACCTAGGAAGACATATATGTCCAGATACAGAAACCCTTATCTTCAAAAAAAAAAAAAAAAAAAATAAGAATTTCAATGTAACAAGAAACAGATCTTTCTTAAGAACAAAATCCAACAAATGTAGCAAAACAAAACCCAGATCTGTGTAGTTGAAACTCTTACTTATGCAGCAAAATTAGGTGCACCCAACTTCTGTAAACAATTAAAAAATGCAAAAAAAATTGACAAAAAAATGAAATTTTTTAGGGCTAAGGTTAAAGAGTGAAAAAGAAGAGAAATTTAATGAAGATTGCTGGTAATGCAGGTGAAGTTGAAGGGCAAAAGTGGATCCCTTTTTCACCATAATTTCAGCAAAATCTTCTTCTTCACCCAAAAAACTCCATTATTATAGTATTACAAGCATAACCCCATCTTTATATTTCTTTGTAATTTTGTTATTATTCATTGGGGTAATTCAACAAACAGTTGGTGGGCAAACAATTAGAAATAAGAAATACATTGATGGGGAATGGTGGGCGGTGATTCTTTACCTCGAAAGAAACAAAAACACAGTCTTTCTCTCTCCTCGAATTACTAGTGAGAGAAAAAACCGCGAAAACGCTGTATTTGACCGTTAGCAGATGCTGATGAAACAACTGAAAGTTGGTATTGGTAGTTGCTCTACTTGTGAGAGTGGTTGTTGCTCCCATCTTCTTGCTGATGTATTTTTGTTTTATGAATTTGTATTTTACAAATTAATCAGCAGTTAAATTAGTTAGCTAACATTCACTTCTTCCTAAATAGTAGTAGTAAGGGATTAACGATGTATTTAAATCACCTTTAATTCACTAATTTGACTTTATTTTATTACGGCGAAAGAAATTTATTAAGGTATTGTCGTTATGTTGACTGAGTATATATTGAGTCCTTACATAATAAAAAGGGGTGTATAATGATGTGAATTTGTTATAAATTTGTACTCTTTTATCAAAAATTAGCCTCTTATTAATGAGTTGAAAAGACGTACAAGATTTAACAATGACTTTAAATAGTATGAAGTGTTTGCATAAGAAAAAATAGTATTCCGTATATAGTTTAAATGATCAACTAATTTAGTTGGTGAAAGTTTTAAGGGTGATACTCAAGGGAAAAAAAAACTTTTATTTTAAATCATACAATTATAAGTTATACGATATTGACAATAATCATTGATCATCAAGATTTGTTCACAAATAGACTCAAGAGAATTAAATAATTAAAATTGTGATATTTAAAGAAGACTTTAAAAAGAAATCATGCAACAACACCATCACTATAATCATAATTTGATTAGTTATAAAATCCACATTAGTGACCTAACATATTAGTCCTTCAAAGTTAGACACATAATTATGTAAATTTGAGGATAAAAAAAGCTTGGAATTGAATATGATTCTCCCTAATTTGCTTTACCACCAATGAAAGCAAGTCAATTGGAATATAATTGCAAAAACATCATTATCAGAAAAATTACAATTGATCCAAAGTTTGAAACCATTTGTTTGAGTGTTCCACAACTGAATAGGATCCAATTAATCAAGTCAATTATCAATCAATTAGGTTGCGAGTTTACATTATAACCTTATGGCAACAATAATGTCGAATTCCTTTCCTCTTCCCATCGATCATCTTTAAGTGTCTAGGTTGTAGATAAGAATAAATCAAAATAAAATTAAATCGTGAGATTTGAAATTAAATGAAATCTGATTAAAGTCATCCTTGATCGTACACCAATTACACAACGAAGTGGAATCTTTCAATTACCATAAGCAAAAGGACCACATCCCACACATATTATGAAGTGAGTATTACTTTTACATAATTGGCCAAAGGGTGGACCATCTTAATTAGACTTGTAAATTTTTATTTGGGCTTTTAAAGACAATCATGAGTTATGGAAATATATAGGTTGTCTTTGGCTTGAATGATGCTTAAACCTTTGTGAGTGTGTGGGGTTTCTCAGCCTCACATTTTAGACAACCAAAACCAATTGGATGTGAAATTAGGAAATTATACTATATGAAACAATAATATTACCTTTGTTAATTGTTATGTACAACTTTTGGGTATTATTTGTGAGATATAAAATATTCTAAAGTTGCATATAATATTTAACGGAGGTAGTAGTAGTAATAATAATAATAATAATAATAATAATAATAATTTATCTTATTTTTTAAAAAAACAAATAATAATAATAATATAATTTAATAATATTATATGGTTTTATTTATCTTGGTATTAAAATTTAAAAGAGGATCCACCAATGAAGGAAGGTTATTTGAATTGTAAATTTACAAAATCTATTTGGCCAATGGCTGGCACTGGGTTGGAATATGGGCGGCAGTTCATACTTGATGGCATGTGGTTCTATAATTTTAATTAAAGGGTACATGGCATTGTTTTTGGATAATTTTAAAATATCTCTAGTTTTTTCTTTTATTTAACAATATTATTTATGATAATTCATGCTCTCTTATGATTTTATTCAAATGTACACGAATAAAAATTAATAAAACAAAATCATAAATTCTTATATGTGACTAGCTATTATAGGGATTAGTTTGTTAGCGTAATAGGGGTTACTTAGCTTAGTCAGTATTAAAGGGTTACTCGGTCGGTATTATAGGGGTTATTCAGTCAGGGAGACAGGTCGGTCAATATTATAGGGGTTACTTTGTTATTTTATAAGTGGTCACACGGTGTAGTCAGCCACACACACGATGGACTAGAATAAAATATACTCTCTTCAAACTTTTAAAAATAGTGTTGTTTTACATTTTGCATAATATTAAGTGTAGTATTTAAGCATAAATTTCTTCAAAACGTGTTACTAAAAATCATCAAGAGTTAAAAATGTAAAAACTATACATACATTGAGAGTTGAGACAAATCAAACAATGTTATATTCTTTTAAAATTATCGAGAGTATTAATTTCATTTTATAAGAATGTATAATTATTTCAATTAGTACTGATCATTTATAAAAGGATAAACTATTGCATTTACACAATTTTTTTTTTTTTAATTTGCCTCATGAGAATTGTCAACTCTACAAATCGACCAAACTATTACGACAATGGTAAATGTTAACCAATTATGTTCCTAATAAACCAAAACAAATAGTCAAAGACGTATTTCTTTGAATTGATATTGATCACATTAATTGGCCAACTAAAATGAAATTAAATAAGGCGGCCATATTGGTCCTACACTACTTATAAACAAAGACAAAAGAACAATGCAATTTCTATACTTTCTTATGGACTCGGTATAACCGTATAAGATGAACTTAGAGTGTACACCTAACTCGAATGCATATAAGAATTTTCACTTTTAACTTCTTATTGAATGACGAACTTTAATAGTTGTGCCAAACCCAACTTTGAGGGTATACATGTCATTGAGGATCCAAATAATGTGACTACTTTGAGGGTATACATGTCATTGAGGATCCAAATAATGTGACTATTATTCAACTAATGATATATTTTGTATAAGAATCCCTACTTCATTATTTTTAGAAATCTAATTAATAAAGAATAATTATGTTTTAATTGGCCGGTGTCTAACTTTATTATAGATCAACGAAGTTTCTCCACAAATTTGGCATGAGTTAAAGTATTCCCTAAATGAATATCAAAGTGGGGGTAGCTAGTCAAGTGGGTGAGCTCAAGATCACAATAATCACTCCCTATATTCTTGTTTGTTTTTGTCATATTTTAAACAATTATTTTCATCAATTTCATATATTCCAACTGTACTTAATCAATTTATACTTTGCATATTTATTAAGTCATTTTTTTTTTTCTACATATCAAACAAGATCAATTTCTTAATAGTAAGAAAATCACCCATGTTACATGAATAAAAAAAAATATATATATATGAACAATATATGATTGTTAAACAATGATTGACATTAAAAACATAAGTGACGATGAAGTAATATAAAATTAGAATAATGAGATCAACACATAATCTCAATCTGATGCAATCCGATGATCGTTAAATCAAAATCTCAATTATTGAGTTCACACTTCACATACATTATCATGGTGTACAAGTTTGTAGGTGTGATAGGTCTATCACCAAAAAAAAATTGATACGAAATCACTTAGCAAAGCCAAATTCAAGGTCCCTACTTGAAATATGTCAATATATAGTGTGATTTGTGGGCACTTATTAAGTTATTAATGAGTAGTAGGAAAAACTTGACATTTTTATATCATGAACTAATGGACCACCCTTATTAATTCATTAGTTTAATTGTTAGTTTGGTTTCCTTATATATGATTATTAATTAAGCTTATTGTCATAACCTAAACAAATGTTGTGTTTTTATTTGTTTTCTTAGAATTGAAGATCTTCATTTTGTCATACTTCATACAAGATATTCAAATCTCATTTGATCGGTCGAATTGATCAAGTCTTACATTAGACAAAAATAAATATTGTAAAATATTTGTCCCAAAATAATAATTGCTCAAACCTTGATTCACATGCATTATGTACTTAAATTAAATATAAAAAAATTAAAACATTATACTATATAAAATTGAAAAAATCTCAAACATAATATGCATACCTATTTTCACATGTAATATAATACTTCGTATGTAATATTTAATGTTTAGAAATATTTCAACGTATTTGTTTGAATGAGACATACAAAATATGGAGTATGGACTAATATTTAAAAGTATAAGTTAAGGGATTTTTTTTTTTTTTTTTGTAAAATCTATATGAATTACATACTACTAAAAGCGAATCTTAAGACACACTTGTCGATGTATTATTAAAAAATTTCCCACCAAAAGTACCTTCTACAAAAATTATTGTTACTTAAGAAAAAAAAAATTATATCTAAATTATGACATAATTTGTTTTATATAAAATATAAATTTTTTTCTAAAAGATTAAACTATCCATTATAAGTTTATAATTTGATTATTATATAAATATTTTTTCTTGCATGCTTTTATTTTTAATATACTCTATATTTTTTAATACTCAAGTCATTATATTAAAAAATTTATAATAAAATTGTCAAAAATATTTAACAACCGTGCATTGCACGGGATTTAATCTAGTATTATACTAAAAGACAAGCGCCTCAATGTGAGGATGACAAATGCCACCCTCTCATTGGCTTATCTTAAGTATTAAATATATCTATATAATTACTGTTTACATATTCAAGCATAGTTATTTTTGTAAAACTTCAAACAATAAAAGCAAGTTTCTATACATGCATAAGATTTTCATGATTTCCTAACATAAATATTGATTTAATTTTTTTATAATAAATATATACTTTCCAATACTACAAATAATACATAAAGTCTTTCCAATCTTTATTTATAGTCAAGTTAAAGAATAATAAGTAATTTGAAGCAATATGATTAAAGTGGCATAATTAAGGAAACAAATATTTCATATTTTGAAAGGCTAATTTTTTTTTATGAAAATTAAATAAAATCGATAAGAATTTAGTTTGACGTCAATTATGAAATCAATACAAACATTTAAAAAAAAATCAGATGTACAATAAAATATTGTGCACCTATTATAAAAGCTATCCTGTAATGAATGAAAGTTATTTATGCTTTATTGATAAAAGTTACCCAAAATAGTCTACAAATTATCCTAAATTCAATTCAAGTAATCGGATGAATACAAAAGTTTTTGATAAAGATACAAAATAGTGTAAATTACTTTTATCGTTTGTTGTGCTCCTTGACAAATACTGAATGC